CTCCTCCTGTCGCGGGCCGCCGTTGCCTCCCCAGCCCGGCGGCGGCCGCCGCCCCCATCTGGCCGCCGCCGACTCTGCCCAGCAGCCACCGCCCCTTCTCCCGTCGACTCCGCTGCAGAAGATATGTGGATGAGGAACGAGAGAGTACATAGACAGCGAGAGAAATGGTGAGAGAAGATATGTGGATGAGGAAGTCTAGATCTGTCTAGCACTAAGAGATAAGGATGAGGAAGTCTAAGTCTCTAGTCTCTGGTTCGATCTATTTAAGACGTAGGAGGGAGATATTTAGTCCCGGTTTCCCGGTTGATGATATCAACTGGGGCTAAAGATCTATTTTTAGTGGACTAAAGATCCTCGGTGCCCTGACATCGTCCGACACAAATAGAACCGGGACTAAAAATGGTTTCTAGTCCCGATTTCTACTTGAACCGAGACTATTGTGGATTTTGACCAACCTATGAAAGATGGTTTCTCCGGTAGTGTTATTTAATTATTAGATTTGTCATTCTCACAAACAACAGCCTCACCGGAGGCGTTCCATTTTGTCACGCCCGGAATTTCTATCCAAAATTCCAAACGCTTACATGTGTGTGAACCCTCGTCCAGGAATCAGCTGAGGCACACAATAACAAATTGATAATAGAGTGCAGTTATTACTCTAATTAATAAGCGAATAAAATGTCATTACAGAGGTAGATAGTTCCTCTCAATCAATAAAGATCTAAGCAGCGGAAAGATAAGATAAACGGCGCAGACGACTCCACTCCACAGGCAGCTTGACCAGGGCTACACCTAATCCTCCACACCATCAGCATCACTGTAGAACTCTTCCTCTGATGAATGATTGCAAGGTGAGTATATGACATACTCAGCAAGTCACGCAGCAAATATGCAAGTGCACAGGAATCACAAAGGATGGCATAATAGGGTTTCATTTGCATAAACAGCATTTAATAAACATTTCAGAATTTAATAAAACAGTTAAGTAATAATTAATCAATATTAATCCAACGCTATACAACATACCCTGTTGTATAGGCCCAACCATTCTGAACAACCATACCCGGCTGTACAGATCTATCTCCAAACCAGGAATATACCATTCCAAACCAGGAGCTAAATAAATTATTACCATTTATAGCATCTATTATCATGATGAGAGGTGTGAGACTAATCACGAAAGACATTGTTAGACCCGCCCATAACCGCGGGCACGGCTATTCGAATAGTTTTACTCTGATCAGAGGTGTACCACTGTACCCACAAGACACAGCCCCACATCATGTCACCATGTACCTCAATACCACCACGGTACCTCAGAAAGGAGCTGTGACAGTACCCCTCGCACAACACAATCCACCGCAGCGCACCATTCCTGGATCATAATCACCCCCTTATAAACAAGGCATGGACTCCCCAGCGACCCCCGTGGGCTTATCTCCGCCACTTCTCAGTCTGGTGCCCCGCAATGAACCATGCTATACAAAAGGTAAAGCCGTTGCCCACGCTGGCTTGTGGTTGGCACGATTAATGTTTCACAACCGAAACTCGTGAACCGGTCCTTAATTGTCATGAGCACGACTCTCAAAACCATGTGCTCACAACCCACCATTATCAAGTTTTAGTTGGCAAATAATTAATTAACCAATCACGATTGACCATCGTGAGCTATCATTAAGCCATCATTAAATAATAGTGAGTCATAAGTTATCCCAATAGTGTGCTATTGTTTCTAAGCATGGCTAAGCAATCACATCTAATATCTAGCTGAACCAATATATATAAAGCTCAACTAGTCAAGTCATAATAACCCAAGGTATCAAGGAATAAAGTAATCAAGAACAAAAGGCTATAACAAACAATAGGTTGATTCCACCCAATGACATTCGAAAATAAATGCAATATTTGAATAGAAACAATAGCTTTAAATGGGATCAACATGCTCAAAGGGTTGTTTGGGATCTGTGTGACTTGCCTTGCTGGCCTTGGAACTCTTCAAATTCTTCTCCTGCGAAAACGGACTCTCCAGAAACGTCGGAATCTAAACAGAAAAGAGCAAAAACACCAAAACAGCACATAAACAAGCATGAACAGAACATGTGGATATTTTTAACATGTAGATCTCAATTTTAGAAAAATTTAGAGACTTGAACCAACTAAATCCGAGCTCAGATGAATTAGTTATGAATTTTTAAAGATTAAATCGGATTAAAACACTTATATGGATTTTAATGGAATTATGACGCAATAATGAATTATTTTTGAAAAGGAAAAGGAAATTATTGCGTCAGCGGCTAGGGTTTGCGGTGGATCGGGCGCACGGCAGCGGTTCACGGGAACGAACGGCCGAGATCGATCCATCCAAAACGGACGGCCGAGATCGATCGGGTCTACGGCGGCTCAAGGCAGACGGACCCTGATGACGTCAGCGGTGACGTCACCACCGGCGGCGGCTCGGGCTTGCACACTCGCCGGCGAACGACGCTTCGGCACGAACGGAGGGCACCAGGACGTAGAGCGCGACGCGGCGAACTCACCGATGACCAAAACGTCGGCGGAAGATCAACGGACGGCGACGGCGACGAGGAAGAAGCGGCGGCGGTCTTCGGCTTGATGACGACGGCGGTGCTCCGGCGATCTACAGCGGCGGCGAAGGGGCGGACGAGGACGGCGGTGACTTGGCGACCACGATGGCAACCTCCCCGAGCGACGACGACGACCGGAACGGCGGCGGCGCACGGCTGGAGCGACGGCGATGACGGCGACTCGAGGTTACACGGCGCTAGGGCGCTTCCGACGACGAGAGACGAAGGCGAGGGTGGCGGTGGGTAGAGGAGACACCGGGGATCCTTTTATAGGGGCAAGGAGGCAGCGGCGAAGGCCCACGGCGACCGGCGACGCGAAGGAAACCTCGGGGTTCGGAGGAAAGAGACCGATCCGATTCGACCTCGAATCCACGAACTTCCAAAGCAATTTAGAGGATGATTCCAAAAGAGAAAAGGTAGAGGAGATCTCGGGAAACATTTCCCCTCAATCGATTTCACCAGATCGGGAAAGACGCGGCCGAATTGGAAAGCGGCGGCGGCGCTAGGGTTTCGGCCGGCAGCGGCGCGAGGAAGACGATGACCTGACAGGCGGGCCCCACCTGTCAGCGAGCGAGGGCGCGTGCGCAGCTGCGGCGGACTGGGCCGACTTGGGCCGGGGAGAGAGAGAAGGTTTTGTGCCGACTTTCGGCCCAAAGCCAAAAGAGACTTTTAAAAACCTTTTTTCAATTTAAATTATTCATGAAATACAATTCTATTTATTAAAAATACTTCTTTAGCTCAAATAAATCCCAGAAAAATCTAGGAATTATAGAATTAAGCAAAGTATTTAATGAAATTTTATCTGGCCCCATTTTATGTTGGAATTTATTAATTAAAATTAGATCTTCTCTTCTAGGCTTTTAAAAATAAATTCTAATAATTCCATTTAAACAACAATTTATATATTTAGGATTTTTAGGGTGTGACACATTTCCACCTCCGCTATCAAATTAATAGTTCATCAGTCCAATTGCTTTACTTAACTAACAATGATCTCGATGGGGGATCCCCTTTTCCTCTCTTCAATAGCTCCTCGCTAGGGATGAAAACGGAGCGGATAGTTTCCGTCCGCTCCGGATAAAAACGAATATGGATACCTCTCGGATCGGATAATTCTCGGATAGTTCGGATACGGATACGAATACGGATATTTTCTCTCGGAAACGAATACGAATATGGTATCAGGGTTCCGTCGGATATGGATAATAATTCGGATATCCGGTGAACAGTGCTATTCGGATATCCGCAGAAGCCACAAGACATACCCTATTTCTTTATAACTCTATGACCTTCAATATACCTTTTTAGATTTTAATAGTAGTTCATCTCTTAACACTAGTCCACATTATTAATATTATTTAAAATTTTAAAAATATTTATAAATTATACTACATTTTATATAAAATGAGCTAATTATATATGTTGATATTTATTTCTATTAGAAGTTGAATTGGTTTTCATGTTCCGAGAAAAATTTGTTTCCGTATTCATGTCCGATCATATTCGATTCTTATTCGTATTCGAGATAGTCCGTATTTGTTTCCGTATTCGAGCTATCCATATTCGTTTCCGTATCCGGCAAAAAATATGAAAACGAATATGATATGAGCATTATCCGTCCGTATCCGCTCCGTTTTCATCCCTACTCCTCACTTGTACTGTTAGACCTTGCAATTAATAAACTTGTTGGGTCTATTATGAAAATCTCAAATATCTCCTCACCATTGGCGTATCTCATCCTAAACCAAAACAATCTCTCAGAGATCAATCATACCTTCCTCTATAACGAACTTTTCCTCGCTTTGGTGTCTTTTACTTGCACAAGGAATCATTTCCATCGAGGATAAGCAGAATTCCAAATTTGCAACATCTTGACTTGTCAGTTCCAACTTCTATGGGTGTGTTTAGTTCACGTTAAAATTGAAAGTTTGATTGAAATTAAAACGATGTGACGAAAAAGTTAGAAGTTTGTGTGTATAAAAAAAGTTTGATGTGATGAAAAAGTTGGAACTTTAAATAAAAAGTTGGGAACTAAACCAGGCATATGTTTAACATGTTAATTAAATCTCGCATACTTGGGACACCCTAGCTAGCATATGCGTATGCCATGTAATTCTTTTCTTCTTCCTTTTTTGTTCTTACTTTCTAGCTTTGGTTGCTATTGCTTAGTCCTAATGCTGTCGAAAAAAAAGAAAGAAAATATTACTTTTTGATTTTTCTACACCTACTAGGTGCAATCGCACCCATTAATTTTTGCATGCAGCCTAAATAGTTTTAGAAGAAAAATGAAAAAATAATTAGATATATTGTGATGCTAGAAATCCATATAAAAACATGCAATGCTAAACAGAAACAGAACTTTGTTTGTGTAGAGCAAAGCTGATTTTTTTTGTTCTTAAGTGTAGAGCGAATTTATAGTTTCATGTTTGTGTACAAATTTATATCATCACCATTTATGTTACCAATTTTTTTACATTTTTATTTAACTATTTAAATCACATGTTGACTTGCATGCACTAGGTGCATATATATATATATACACACACACCTAGGTGCTAAAAATACTTTCTGTTACCTCTGCAATTGCAATACAGCACGAGTGGATTGCCAATAGCCTAAGAAACTAAGGACTGATCTTGAGCGTGTCAACAAATCTTGTGCCTCGAGAAAAATGTTCAGAGAGCCCAACCAAGAAGTCCCTTGCTTTCATTTTCTTGTACAGTGTCAGCCGCTTCTCATGGCCAGCGAGATCCTCTCTTTCTCTGCACTGTTCACAACCCTATGCACCGGGCTTCTGAACATCCCATTGCTCATTACCTGCGTCGAAACACCGTTCGATTCGATGCGTCAAGTCAACATCCAGAAGTCTGAATTATATTGTACCATCAGTATCATGCCAAGAAACAAGGAGAAATCGGTGATGTGTTTAGTTCCACGCCAAAATTAGAAGTTTGACTAAAATTGAAAGTTTGAAAGAAAAAATTGAAAGTATATGTGTGTAGAAAAGTTTTAATGTGATGGAAAAGTTAAAAATTTGATGAAAAAGTTGGGAACTACACAAGGCTTACCTCCGTGGATTCCCCTACATTGATCAGCAAGGCGTGAGTGCTCGATGATGGCACGCTGTACCAGACCCCATACCTGAGAACCTGAAGCCCGTCGGCGCCGCGGGCAACCAGGAGAACGGTGATGACCGTGCCGTCGGAGTGAGGCTTTATGCCCATCACGAGATCGGGCCTTGGGCACGGCGGGTAGTAGTTGAATCGGGCATGCACGGTCGCCCTGCCGCCGAGCTGATCGACGAAGTGCTGATCGTCGTCGTCCAGCCCCGCGATCCTCGCCATCGCTCTAAGGACGTCGCGTTTCACCCTCCTGCATCTCACCACGAACTCATGCAGGGCATCCCTGCAGAAAGAACACACACTTGGCACAAAGCTGATAATAAATGTAAATACATTTCTCAGGAGGGTTCCATATTTCGGTAACAGGTCTACGAAGGGGTAATTCAGATTGCAGCCAAAATAAAACTTAATAAATTTTGGCAGGATTTCTTATGTATTTATTAAAGTTTGGTAAAAAATTAAATTGATGCACATCTAGTAACTCTACCAAAAAATGGTATGGTGTGAAATGACATCAATCTGAACAAGCCCGAAATTTTGGGAATTTGAGTCCAAGGATAATTTTTTGCCCAAATTTTTTCATTCTTCTAGTGAATTTAACAAAATTTATTACTTTCGCCAAAAATTGTTCAAATTTCAAATTATTCTAGACCGAAAAGTTTCCGAAATTTCAGATCTATTACTCCTTTTTTTTCTTTCGGCAATATAAAAATATTTTTTCTCAGTATGCGGGATGGTTGAAACAGAATGATTTGTTGGTCACCTGAAAGAACTGGGATGTTTTGGCCAGAGTGCGAGATTCCTCTCGTCTTCAGGCTCCACTTTGAGGTAGATCCAATCAGACCAGTCCAGGATCTGGTCCTTGCTCCTCACCTTATCATTCCCGTACCCTTCGGCCCGGAATTGCTCGCCGTCATTCAGATTGCTGAATTCTCGCTTCATCTGGAGTGGTTGTCTGAAGAACTCTTTTGACGCGCTCATCAGTTCGTCCATCAGAGAAGCTTCGATCCCATGGTTAGTAACCTGAACAAGAACGGATTCTCTTTCATCAGCGAGTCCCCAAGAATTCTCATCAACCAAAGCGGAGATCGACATATATAAGGCTGGTTAATTACCTGGAGGAGTCCCCAAGAATCGAGCGCTCGCCGGAGCTTGGCGGCTTCGTCGCCGCCGCCGTCATCATCTGGCGATGGCGAGGACAGTCGGCCAAGGTCGACAATGGGAAACGATGCGGGAGGAGCGGCGTCGGGGCGGTGCTGCTCCGGCTGCACGAACCGGCCGGGTGGCTCCTGCACGGTGGCTAATAGCTCCTGCACCAACGCCGGGACCTGCCATTACTGCTCGTCAGCTGCCATTATTGGTGGTTCACTGGTTCTTGCTCGCCGTTTAATTCTCCGTGCAAATTGATAACTCCATTATGGAATGGGCACAGCGGCCACGACAACCATGCGGATAATATTCGCAGTGGCGTCTTGCTCAACATGACGGATCGCTTGCTGGTGCCGACGTTTTTAAGATCAAAGATCATGTCATGTCGAAAGAAGAGGCTAGAAGAGGGTAGGTCCGTTACTACTCTGTTAGTCTGTTACACGAGTGTTCGAGCGACACCACGCGAAGCGAACAGGCAAGCTCAATGTGCATGGAAGTCCGATTCGAAAATAGAAAATTACGGAAACAATATCATAAGTTACTAGAAATTTAATATTCTCCCTTACAAGTTATTTTATTGCAAAAATTCACCTCTGTTCAATTTTATTAAAAAGCACGTACTTAACTGAATCAGCTCGTTAAATCGTTTTTATTGCTGATGTAAAGCCACCACATGTTAAGGTAGTCGAGTCAATCTTATTGAAGTGCTTGCATTAGACATATTCTTCATGTTTCATTGAAGATTTTTGCATATAACAAAACTTAATGTGATAACCTTTAGGTTTCATCAGCAATTTTATTTATGCTATCTTTAAAAAGGTGTCAAGATTACATTTCTAGAAGTATTTAATTTTAGTAAACACTTACGACTCATCTGAAGTAGTAAAAAATAAAGTTTCATATTAATCTATCATGTTAAACTTTTTCAATTTTTTTCATAACCATTTAGATGACATGCAAATAACGAGGATCCCTCAAGAATTTAAAATAGTTTCCCACCATCACTAGATTGAGCCACATCATCGGAATAATAAGGACCGTCTAATGCAACTAAGATTGAATGCCAACCATCACACCCAATCAACTCAGTTGCCGTCTCCTCGCCTCCGCCCCCATTTCTGACGCCTCCAGCGTTGCCTCTTCCACCGCACTTTCCCATCCCACACGTCCCTAGATTTGGTAGCTTAAGGAGAACCTTTCCTCTAACCCCGAGCATTCACTGCCTCTTGCTAGCAGTGAAACGCAAGCTGCTGATGAAAAGACAGAAGGAGAACATCACAGATAGAAATGTGAGGAGGAAATTGCTCTCCGTGGATGCATTAGCTCACCTACCAGCAAGGACAAAGTGGCTTGAGTCGGCACACTCGGTACCAAACTGACGAGTGAAGAAAAAAATATTTAAATAGAAATATGAAAGCATATCCTCTGACTTAACTGCGCATACAATTAAATCACTGACATGTATGCTATGGTTTACATGTCAGTGGCTAAACTATATAATAAATCAGAGGATCCTTTTAATGGAAAGACACAATGGTGCTTGCAGGGAGCGTGGAGAGAGGAGATGGAAAAAAATGACCTTAGAAAGGATAAATGGCTGCAATGTTCTCAATCACGCATTCCTATCAATTTTGCGTTTCCACCCCTATCAAAATATATTAAATGCTTTGATAAGTAAAAGCATTCGCATAATCACCCCTATACTGGATAATCGAGTAATGTATTCATTAGAGTTCCAAAGAAAAAGGGAGATGGTTCTCCCACTCTAGCAGTGGAACATTTCTTGTGATGTTAGTGCTCTGTATTCTATATATTCTATAGTTGTTCAGTTCATATTTTTATTTACAATTCTATAAGATAAAAGGACAAAACAAATTTCAGTTAAAAAAGACAAAATGAATCTTGTAAATGAAAATTGTTAGTAAATTATCTATACAAGAAAAAAGTTGTATAAAATCACGGAGTAAAACTTAGCTAGATCCGAAATTTCTTCGACCAATCCATATTCTGTAAATAAATTAAACCAAAATCCTATTCAAGTTCTTAAACGGGGATATAAAGTTACACAAAGCACGACTATTTAGCTAGTAATATGTGAAAATATGTTAATTCAGTTAAGTACGTGCACACCAAGGTGTTTTTTTTAATTAAAAAAAAGGGAATATGCCACAGGGTGTGACTTTGATTGGATCGATCTTTTAGTGAGGGATAACTATCATTTTGAGGTAGGGATTGACGTTGGGGATTTGGCTATAAACCCGAGGTCAGCACCTGCAATCGCTACACCACAACCTTGTTATCAACCATGGCACGTCCAGTTAACCTATTGTTGACGGTCGTTATCGATCAGTTTTGACCGTCAATATTACCAAAACATGAGAGAACTAGTGATGCTTGCAATGCATAAATATGTTAGAATAATAATATTCCACTAGTATTAGGTCTACTAATCTTTTGCATAGAATAATCATAAAGTGGAGGAGAATCGACATCAACACCAACGATAAATCAATCAGACGATGTCGAGGACCAGACTTATGTATGAATGGGCCAAGGACTCAGAATTGACATGACAAACTGGGCCAAAATTCACAAGTCTGCGAAGAGAAGAAACAGAGGAGGCCGCCAGCCGAAATTAGGCTGGATCGGGTCGGCCCCAGGTTCGGCCGAACCAGGGGGTTCGGCCGAACCCTTCTTAGCGCCATCCGATCCAGGGCTTCGCCTAGATGGTGTGGATTAGCCCCCAATGACGGTTGGAGGGCATTTCCGACCATTCCAACTGCCACAACCGTCATTCGGAGGCTAGAAAAGGAGTTGCCATTCTCACTTCACTCACACACCTCAAGCAAGAGCTCTCTCATTCCTCTCAAATTTAGTTTAGTAGTATCTAGCTAGTGAAATAGAATTAGAATAGGAATCAGAAGTCTGGAAGCCTTCGGAAGAGTTCGGGTATGGCTCTAGTAGCTTTCCTTTCCTCTTTTATAAGCCTTGTACTTTTATTAGAGTACTCTTCTAAATACATTTCTGGTATTGGAATACTTTCCGAGTATATGAGTACCTACTTTACATTATGTTCATGTTATACTGAATATACTGCTAGCTTATCTGGGAGATGCTTTGGTGCGAGTATAGTGTTTGCTTATGCAATTACTCTATGTCATGACGATGATATTAGAGTAGTATCTGGTAGTTTAGACATGGTGTCTAGATTACGGGATATCATTATTTGGGGTTATATATTGCGGATGAGAGGTAGGCCGCTGATGGTGACAGCTCAGTACGGGTATTCCTCCGCGCCTATATATAATCCTAAGTTAATTTCCTGGGGAGGGTATTCCTCCGTATTTAGCCCCGGTTGGATGGTCACGACGGGCTGTCATAAGGAACTCGGCAGTCAAGGGTGGCTTCTCGAAGTACCATGAGGGCATCGGATAGAGGGTATTAGCTAGTATAACAGTTAACTAGAATGTATGTATACTATGTATATTAGAAGTATAGGAATAGATTATCTTTCTCTTTTCTTTCACCTAGCTTAGATTAATTATTATGAGGATGAGTAGTAATGCTTGTGTGTCACTCTACCCTTGGATTATATTAACCCCTGCTTAGAATATAATTATCACAAGTAATATATAAATTATTAGTTCAGTTCTCTCTATATGATCTTCCCACGGGATAAAATAAATACGATACCCTTGGAATACTCTTGGGTGAAATGCTACAATGGTATATCCGTGCGCTTGCGGATGAACTCTATAACCATAATATACCAGAAGTATTTATGCGTCATTGCTGAGAATTATATTTCTAGTAATGTCGTTAAGAAATACCAACACCTATTCACGAAGAACATTTCCTGCAACGCAAACAAAGAACGCAGCAAGAAATAGATTAAAGCAACACAGATTGCTAGATAGGTAAATCCACACAAATATGAAGAAGCAAACTTGTATTTGCTAATAAAGTGGTGAACTAATATCATAGAGGTTCTAAAGATACAAACAGCAATCTAATCGATCATGACCAATACCCGGATGTAGCTATAGAGCAAAATCATAATATAAACAAAAAACAAAACCAAACCTAAAAGTGATGACCTGGGCTACATAAAGGGGTGAGGTCGTGGAGTGGGAGCCCATAAAAGATTACAAGTCAGTTACAAAAGCCCGTCGCCCACTTTGGCTCGGATAAGAAAACTGGTTTGATTTGTTTTGATGATTATGGATAGCTCCGAAGGAATTTTGAGGTGGGGCCAAATCGGTTGGAAAGATCATTGGAATAGCTTTTCCTCAAGTATTTAAACACCTTAGTCAGATTCTAAATGAGGACAGGATAGCCGTTTAACTCCGGGTTAATTGCTAGAGGCCGAATCTGTTTCCAAAACATGTTGGAGTTGATCTCTTGCTTTAATTGAGCCCAAATTAATGTGGTATCATCCCTTATATAGTACCATGCTATTCTACAATATCTGAGCTCATAGAAACATGTATATTCGTCTTTAGGTAACATTCTATTCTAGTAAACGTGACTAACAAAACACATGACCAAATTTACCTGATAAGGTGACAATGCAGGTGTTGTGTGCGTATACATTATAGTGATGTCCTCACCATAGATGGGTGGGCATTTGCAACAAAAATGACTTATGGGATGAAATGTCAGACTTCAAGTGACTTATGGGATGGTTTTTTGTAAATTTCCCAATAATGTAACTTACTGGGTCTTTCTATCATGAAAGCCCATGTGCAAATAGTCCACTCTCACTTTCAAAGCTATTCTCAGCCTACCTGATTTTGGTTTAACGAGTATTGTTTTTGGGCCTAGAAAAAAGTTGGCAAAATTTGCTATACAACACAAAATTTGCTCTAGGTCACCACAAAATGTAACAATGTTGTTGGGCACAATGAAGACCTGGTAATTTGTTGCTGGACAGCGGAATGATGTTGGGCACCACGAAGACCAGGTAATTAGCTGCTAGATAGCAGAGTCATTATTTTATTATGCCCAATACAAATAGAGAAAGACACAATGTGGAAAGGACAAATGTACCCCTAGAGCCAAGTGCTTGTGAGACGACTAGATCTGGTTCAAACCAGATCTAGACCACTCTTCCTTCCTCGGTACCCTCTCTCCTAGCGCTATCAGATGTTTGAATCAAACCCAATCAGGTTAAAAGTAGCTTGCCCCATGAACAAAATTGTCTTTACTGAATGTTTCCCTCTCCATTTGCACTAGATATAATAAAATAAAATAATAGCTACAACGTCCAACAACTAATTAACAGGTTTTCATGGTGCCCAGCAACACTGCCATGTTCCTGAAGTGTCATACAAGAAAGACCACAAAGTTTGTTTGAATGTACATATCAATTTTATACATTGTACATACAAACTTTATACATATATACATAGAAACTTTATGTATAGAAAATATTATAGATATAAACTTTGTACATGCAAACTTTTTGGTACTAAATTTTCTAAAAATGAATTAGATACAAATTTAAAAAATGCACAAGTTAAGAAAAAAGAATAAAATGCCCAGTTAGGACATGAGGCCCATATGGTCTGTCCACAGCTAGCAAGCCACAACTTATAATCAACCTTCATAGCCCAGTTCAAAATAAAAAAAGCCCAGTCTACCACGTGTCTAGATCAAAACATGTGAAAAAGAAAAATCACGTGTCTAGATCAGAAAAGGAAAGAAGGAGATGGGTTGATCCAAAAGAGAAATGTGTTGGTTTTGCACTAGATGCTTGCAATTGCGTGAGGGCATGGCAACCTTGCCAACTGCCAATATTTGCATGAACACTCTCTCTTGTCATGCTGCACTGTGAACCTATTTTAATGGTGTTTAACCTCAAATTTGTCATCCCCATTGCAAATTGCATGACAAAAAACCGACTCAGTAATGTACACATTCAACTTTTTCAGAATGCCAGGGCCTATAAAAGTGAATCTAGCTAGCTTTTTCTTCTGCTCATCTATCCTAACCATGACTTTCCTTCTAATAGTCTCCAGCATTGTGATTATAGGAAAGAATCTAGCTTCTAATATCCATTTGTTGAAAGATTCACATATATTGTTATCGACTAAGTCACAATTGGAACCTAACCTGAACCAGGATGGCTTCAGCTCCAGCCTGTGTAACCTGAGCTAGCTTGGCTCTAGCTAGATTAAACAGCATCCTCCATGGGGCCTTTGCACATGTACAGAACTTCTTCTGGAACTACTTGTCTAGGAAATGTCTCTTCCAATTTGCATAGATATTGAGAATTCCCTTCAATACAACACATTTGTTAGCATAACAAAAGACATCATCAAAGAACCATAGAGAGAAGAGAACTTGAAATCTACTAATACCTTTTGTTGATCAGAATAAACACCCGACCTTGTCCAGTACCAACTTGCAGGTCACCACATAACAAGTCTATAAACCAATCCCACTCTTCATTGTTATCTTTGGCTGCAACAACCCATGCAATTGGGTACATTTGATTGTTTCCATCTCTCCCTATAGCACAAAGCAACTCTCCATTAATTGGTAGCACCTTTGAAAAAACAACCATCAAGGCCAATCACTTTCCTACAGCTTGCTAAGAATCCTTTCTTGCAGCCATCCAAACATATATATATCCTTTTGAACACTGGTGGGTCAGTCCAATCTCCCTGTTGATCACCATTGTGCTCCTAGGGTTACTTCTCAACAATTCCAATTGGTAGTTATTCAACTTTTGGTACTGCCCTTGGGGGCATCCATCTGTTTCTTCATGACTATTGACTTAGCTCTCTTTATCTTAGAAATGGATGCCTCAACAAACATTTATTCCTGCACTGTGGATTTCATGTGTGACAAATTCCAAAAAGGGTTGGTAGCTATTAACTTCCAATATTTCTTAGCAATCCTGTTGGCTATAACCATTTTGTTATCCCTCCTTGGTGGGCAGGCATGCAAGCTGTTATATGTCACAATCTGCCAACTATCAGATCTTGAGTTCTTGGAGAGTAATCAAATCCATGAACAACTAGACCAGTCACACTTGGCCCTCACCCTTTTCTGATCATCTTTTACAAAATCTATGGCATTCTTCTCAACTAGAGCATATTTGGTGATTGCTTTCTTGAACTGCTTCTTGCAATTGAACTTCATGGCATGCTCAAATGTATGTACCCCATCCTTCTTCTTGTATCTTGGTTGCTTGTCCTGCCTTATCCTTACCTCCCCATCACTGCCAAGTTCTTCAACAGACTGCTCATCTTCACCGCCACCATATGGGGTTTCATTCCCATCATCTTCACTTGCTTGCATAGTTGGCTTGTACCTCTGTTCCTCAAATAACACATCATCTAGGCTCTCTAACTGCACTGTCTTAACCTTCTTCACCTCTTTGTAATGCTTTTCAATCTCAACAGCCTATTCATCATCATCAGATGGGTTGTCATCCCCTAGGATGTAGTCATTGTCAGATTCACTCTCTGAGGGTGGCAAGCTTGCTAGGGGTGTAGACTCAGGCTCATATACAACAAACATCCTTTCATCTTGAGCACATTCCATCACACTTTTACCCTTCAACCCACCAGCATCATTCTGTATAGCTTCTTGCTCTTTACCCTTTGCTTGTTCAGCCTCTACATCCGCAGCCATTTCTTCACACTCCTCTTCACTATCCACTTCCATATCAGCTTCATAGTCACTGTCATCATATGAATTATCACATAATTCAACTATTTTTGGCTCCTCAACAAAAATTTATGCCACCCCATCCTCAACAATGCAGCCAGACATGAAATTACAGACTCTATCATCCATTAAAGCACACAACCCAGTCTGCATATTCTTCCATGGAAAAAGCTAGTGCAGAAACGTTCCTTCCATCACCTTGTAGTACTCACGCAAATGTGCTAATATCTCACCGAATGGCACCTTATCTCTAGCTATATATGACAGTGCCTCCACACTACGTACATATTTCTTCTCCCTAACTTCTATCACAAATTCACCCTTGATATGGAACCTGACCACAAGAGTATCTAACACGTCCATGGCTTCAATAGCACTAGCCTACATGCATAATCAAATAAAAAAAGATTTAAACTGCACTTTTAGCTGTCCTACACATGCAAACAAAGTCAAATCACATCTTTTCTTAAGTCGAAGGAATAAAATAGCCCCGAATTGCATAGATCCAGCACCTCACTAACTAAACAAATCCTAATGTACATCGAATCCAACACAACAAACACCTCTACCATACTTAAAAACCTGATTCAGGGATCCCAAAACTATACGCACCAATGCCGAAAGAAAAATACCTATCATGCGCTCACCGCGGTGAGCTTATGCGCCACCGAGTCCTCTGCCGGCACCTCTGTCCTGCCCACCACCGAGCCCTCCACAGCGCCCTCCGACGCACCCTCCATCGCGCCCTTCCCCGCACCACCGCTGAGCCCGCCGCCGCAACCAAATTGTCATCCCGTCACCAGCTCTCGATCTAGAGTTTTCGGGTAAGGAGAGAAGTAGCTGTGCTATGCCGTGCCATTTTTTAGCCCCCATTTATTGCCCTCCAATGACCATGCCACAATTAACAAGGGAGACCGCAGTCAACGAGCCACATCGGACAATACCTTGTCGTACCCGGTTTTGCGACCAAGGGATAAAAATCGGACTGGGCAACAAATAGTGGGGTCCAAAGTGAACTTATTCCAAAATTGAAAAGTAGTCGGTTCACATGGGCCGAACCCGTACGAGAACGTTCGTGCAAAAGCCTTTTCGCTAGGAGAGGCCTTCTTCTGCCCATCCATTGTAGTTTATTTTTTCCATGTCAACAAACAATGATTATTTTGATGATTACTGGTGATTATGATGCCACAATAATCAAATGCCAAATCAATATTCAATGTGGTTTAATGCTAAGCTAATAATAAGAGAGGGTTAGGGAATTGTTCTATCACCTCTCTTTTTTATTTATTGAATATACTTATGGTTGTGCCTTATGATAAAAACAGGAGATGTAATCATTTTCATTATAAACAAAATCAACATTCAACACTAAACAATGATTATGGTGTTATTTAATTTAGTAATTCAGGACCGAATTAGACACACCTTAGTACTTCGAATATAGATAGTAACGTGTCTAATTCGGTTCTAAGTTGTTATATTTTGATACGGATATAGTATTACCAATATAAATACTTGGTTACACATTTTAGTGTGAATGTGTGGCTCTAGTGACTAGTCATTCTGGAAGCTGTGAACATAAAACAGAGTAGATCAGTGGACCAATCATCTGGCTTGTGAATCCTGTCCTAGGGTTTACATTTCCTTTTTTTTTGCAGGGGTGGTTACTAGGGTTTACATTTCTGACCGAGTGCCAGATCCCAATTCCTAGCGGTATGATATTTTTCAACAATTTTTACTAAATTCTAGTTAAATTTTACTGTTTCAAATTTGAATTTCTCAAACCCATTCAAAATTTCACTCGAAATCTTCTTTTGTCCGCTTCGAAACCTTAAAGCTTCGGGGATTTCATTGAAAATGGAAACCCTGGTTAGACCTCTTTGGATCCATCGGTCAGGTTGAAAGTACACTTTTTGCGTAAAAAAAATGATAGCTAGGCCGGGGCATTTTTAAGCCGAACATTAGATTATTGCACTTCATGATTCGCAATAGTACATATATAGCTGTTGTGGAACAGGGGATGGCCAAACCATGGATAATCATTAGTATATAGCTGTTGTGGTATATGTATGTAGCGGAACATATAGCTGTTGTGGAACAGGGGATGGCCAAACCATGGATAATCATTAGTATATAGCTGTTGTGGTATATGTATGTAGCGGAACGTCTGTGCCCTATTCCATATGCCCTGGTAATCCTCTGTACATCTCACTTGCTAATAGAAATAGAATGTACAATCCTGAGTAGTTATATTCCTGTGTTTCTTAAGTTAACAGCAATAACATCGATTATTCAAACTTGCAGCTTCAAACTTTCACGACTGCTACTGTACATACATGGGAAATATGTTCAAAGCATTTCTTCCGGTCTTTGTTGTGAGATTGCGACCTTTTGGCATGCGTTTTGCGTCTATAGGAGGTCCCTGAGTGTTGTAGCAGCCTTGGCATTCCTCTTTTTCCACTGAAAAGAAAAACAGATTCAAATCTCAACATGCTCACCTGAGCTCTGAATCTATGATATATCTATGTGCAACAACAGTAAGTACTACAGTAGTAAAGAGGAATAATCGAGGTTCTCTTATTTTCCTATAACGTGAGTCACCGATACGAGAACCCTTTACCAAATAGGCCCACATACAAGAAACACACAAGGTATTCTGGTTAGCTATACAAGGTGGTGGGCTACCTGGTTTGAGTTCGAAATCTTTCTATTTATTTAATATTAAGTCGTTTTCTAATATTCACCTTTTTTTTAATATGCCTATATGCCAGAGACTTAGAACTAGAGGAAAATAAGTTAGCCATTTGCTTCGGTAGCGACATAGTACGAAGTACGCCTACTGACCTGGGGGTAGCTTCTGCCAGGCGTGGTGCCACGGATTGGGCGGCCATGCTCGTCGTACAGGATGAGGCCGCTGAACCGCGGCAGCTCGCACCGCATCCCCATCAGTATCCTCCGCTGCCACACCGGCCTCATCGGCGTCATCGGCGGCGCCACCATCGGCGTCCTGCTCCCCTCCTGCGGCGGCGCCTTTGTCGCCGACGGGGCCAGGGGCCTCTCCTCCGCCGTGACGGGCTCCACCGCCGAAGTGCTGCAGGTGCTCCGGCACGGCAGCCTGACGAGCTTCGGTGCGCAGCGCCTCCTGTCCAGCACTCCTGGATCAACTTCGTGCCTGAACTTCGTCTCATGTCCTGATCTGCTGCTGTCTGCTCTGCCTGCAGCAGGTTTCTGGGCGAACTGTAACTGGCCAAAGCTCTGCGCCTGGAACGGTAGCGCCTCCGGCTTCGACCGCAGCGGCGGCCGGCGGTCGCCTCTGACGACAAAGAGCGGCGGCTTCGGCGTGCCGCGCGTCGGCTCCGGCTGCCGCCTTCTTGTCATCTTTCGCAGCATGGATATGCAATGTCCCATTGGATTGGAGCAGTTCACGGTTTCTGGCACGTACGCTTAGGACAAGGAAATTTGCAGGGAGATTGCGAGGGCTATGCATACGCATAGTGTTTGGTTAATTTGTATTGGGTTTTCGTTACGTTGCAAGCAACCAAAAAACGCAACAGGTGGCAAAGGAAAGGTAGTTTTAGCCATTCGGGCTTTCTTGTTCTCTCTATTTTTTCTTCCTTGCATCGGAGTATATATCCCAAGCGGCGCCAAAGAATAAATGTGGGGTTTGATTTCGGACGGATTACTTCCTGCTTGGACTAAATTTATCCGCTTGTGAGAAATTAAGTTGTGTGCGTCGTCGGTGTTCCACTGCCGCCGGGGTGATGCAAATTCATGTGCCTTTCTTGCATGAAACGTAAGTATTCCCAACTCCCAAGTAGTGTGCTTATAAATATCATGGTTTTTCTTGGTGGACCTGAGAGAAGATATTGCTGTTTTCTTTTCCGATTGCCACGTGTTAGCTGCATAAATTTCTGAATGAGTGGCCAAATCTCTACTATTATAAAAATTGAAGATATTTTTGCCGGTATTTTGGTACGTCATCCGTGTATGAGTCGGTTTTCAAGCTCATTTGCTTTTGGAAATACATATCCGTATTTGAGTCGGTTTTTAAGATCGTTCACTTTTGGTAATACAGAATGAATCATATAAGAAATCTGTTTTAAAAAACTCGCATGCTAACTTGAGATGACCGGACTCCTAACTATAACTCATGATTTTCTAAAAATATATATATCCAATCGAACTCTCATAGTGAATTTCATCTTAACTAAACCATATAATAATAATAAGATTAAATAGACTTCACCTGTTGCAACGCACGGGTATTTTTTCTAGTCTCTATATATTCTAGAAAAATCCATGCGTTGCAACCGGAAATATTTAATTAAGTTAAACTTTGGGTAATTAGGATTTTATATTCATGATTTGAACATTATTCAAGCAAATGATTTCTTATCGCTCAATAGCACGTACACAAGTATATACAACGTCAGTGGTCTTGTAGCCTAATTTTATCTTAGCTCCTTGGCTAGAGTATAATCGATGGAGCTAAACGTGTACTTGAACCGATCAGAGACAAGTAGTGGAAAAAAAATCGACGCAAGGAACATGTGTGGACACAAGGACCTCACACGAGCGCCCACGGGGCACTAACGGTAAAAACCGGCTCATTTACAAAGTAATATATGTCACCGACACCAATACTATAGCTGTCGGTTTTTTAAATAATCAACACCTTTAATTTGGTATAGGTATCAGTTCATTAAAAAACTACCACCTATAATATATTATAGGTATCTTTTTTAAAAAACCAGCACTCCTAAAAACCGAGCCGAACTGCTCGACTTAATTCGCGAGCGGATAAGGAGAGAGAGGGGTGGAGTGGGTGTCCTTATCCACTCCACTCGCCTCGTCTCTCTCTCTCTCTCATCAGCGTCGGCGAGCGAACAGTGCCTCCCTCACCGCAGGCGGCGGCGGCGACGCCCTCTCTCACAGCAAGCAGCAGCGACGGCACCCTCCCTCACCGCGAGCAGCGATAGCGATCGTGGCGCCATCTCCATCCTCAAGATCCAGCAGTGTCGGCAACTTCCTGCATGCGGATCCGGCGATGACAACGGCGGCGGTGGCTTCCGCGGGCAAATGCGGCAGCACCAACGGTGGTGGCAGCTTCTCAGGGGCCGATACAGCGGCGGCGGCGGTAGCTTCCCGCAGCAGATCCGGTGGTTACCCGCGTGCAAATCCACCCTGTGGGCTGATTCGCCGCTAGAGGCAACGGCTTCCCGCGGCTAATCCAACAGCGACGACGGCAGCGGCGGCTTCCTACGGTAGATCGGGCGGCACCGACAACGCCAGCGGCTATCCGTGTGCAGATCCGGCTGAAATTCGTAAATTTGGTCCTACTGAAATCAATGAAATTTTGGCCAAAGTCGAAAATACAAACCCTGGAGCATAACACCGAACGGATCGGAAATCTTTCACCATAAATCAAGGGTTAACAGACCAGGCAAGATATATCTATTGCACAAACGTGATTGCCAAATATCAAATCATTCAAGTGGGATCTACGGGATGGAACATCAAAGCCGCCGGATTGCAGGAGGAGGAAGGATGAGATGACTCGTGCTGAGCTTGCGGCCTGGGATTTTTCATGTGCATGAGGAGTGAGCTGAGAAAGCCCATATTTTGTATTTTTCGTATTTTGGGCCACCTGCAGCTCATTGCGTGCGCGATCACAAGTAGACGGACAAAAAAATATTTGTAACGACCGGAAAATTACTAATATTTTAATTAGTTAAAATAAAACATTTGATGCTAAATCAAGTTACAATAAAATAAATAATAGTTATTTTTTAAATAAGACGAATAATCAAACGTTGGTGAAAAAATCAACGACATCATATATTAAAATATGTGGAGCGAGTATACATATATATAATCAATTAACGAGATAACACTAGGCACGTACACATAACACATGCACTACACATAACCAAGAATTAATTATTGTGTGTTGCCAGTGAATGATCAGGCAGTAATTACACCATGTATAGAAGTTGCGTTACTGGAGCCTGTCCTTGTTCATGAACGCGTGTAATCGTAGCGAGCGCGTGGCTATGAAGCCTGAAGTATAAGTAGATAACATCTGCATATATGAATAAGTACACACAGGAGCGAAGCTAGCATCAAAATAAGGGGTACACTGCTATTGAAAATCTAGAAAATTTCAATACAATACTGTACATTTTAGTGTTTTCAAGTGAGAAATTATGAATTTAGAGGGTTCATGTGCACCCGCTATCTTCAACTGCGTACACACAGCTTGATTAATTAACTACTACCTCCATACTAAAATATAAAAAATGAGGATCCAAATAAAATATTTTAGTACTATATACGAATCTGTATGTCCAGATTCGTATTATTAGAAAATGGCATATCCGAGTTCTAGGTTCTTATATTTTGGAGGAAACTTAATATGCTAGTACATATGATCTGATTACGTACATATTTGATATTTTGAAGATGGAGATGAAGATTAAAAGCGGGCACGTAAAACAAGTAAGCTATTAGCGCGTGATAAATTGAGTTTTAATTATTATAAACTTGAAAAATGGATATATTTGATATTTTAAAACAACTCTCTCATGTAGAAAGTTTCCGTATAAAATACGTCATTTTATAGTTTAAAAAGCGTGCTAACGGAAACCGATGTAACATCTTTATATTCGTGAGAAAATAACGGGGCCATACAATACAAATCTGTGAACGAAATGGGAATTATTGAATGTTAGATACGTACCATTCCGGTGTTGAATCTCTCTCAGAACCGTGCAGCCCCTGCAATCGAGTTCTGCTGGATTGTACGGAACGAAGCCGGAGTTGGACAGGAAGAAGTCTAGAGCATCTCGGTTGCTGTGCGGGACGAAGTCGGCGGCGGCGTTATTCAGATTAGAGTGACTACGATAACAAACTATAAGTCAGCTGCAAGCACATATAGAGAAGAAAAGGGAAGATAGAGAAGTAAAGCGGACTATAAATTTATAGCCAGCTGCAGCACGGACTCTAATGCATTATGTTTATATTAGATGTGGTGTAGTATATAACTATTATATAAATGAGCTATTAGATTAGCTATATATGAATTGGAGCTGGTAGTTGACTATACTATTAAACTTGCTCTCAGTGGCAGCAGCGCACTGATCATCCTCCATCTGCGTCAATTCCTGAACCATGGCGTGGATATCGTCTTTAGTGATAACCACTTTGCCAGAGGCGAACACATCATCTTCCACCACTGGCTAGATCGCCGCATGTGGCGGCAGAACAGGCACCGGCGGGGCAGCAACAATAGGGGACGCGTCGTTGTTCCAAGTAGAGATTGGGACGTCCACCGGTGGCAGCAGTGGCGCGGACAGGGGCGAAGGTAGGGTATGGAAGAGGGTGCTCAGGAACCTGGTCAAGAAATTTTTTTTAATATAACTCACTGATTTTCACCATGTATGCACCCTCCTTAATACAAACACGCATCAACTTAAACTTGATCAAAAGTAAAGTAAATTAAGCAAGAGGCACCCTCCTCCATTTCGTTGTAGCTCCGCCCCTAGGCGCGGAGCCCTCCCACAGGACGTTGGGGCCTTGGTGGTAGTAGTTGTTGTTCCTGGAAGCCATGGATGGGATAGAGAGGTGTGCGCGGCGGGGAAGGGGTGGAATCGCCGGAGCCGACAAAGGAACGGGAACGGGCAGTGGTGGCGCGGCGAGTGTGTGAATGGGTGCTGAGAGAGTGCGGTGACGTGGTCCATTGCCTTGGGTATAAATATGCACAAAGCAGCGGCAGTTTGAGGAGTTGGCGCATGCGGTGGCAGCCCAGAGGGTGGGCGCAGTATGGGGCGCATGCGTTTTGGGTTTTGGCACCTGGCGCGCGCAGAGGGTTGGCACTTGGGAAACCAATATGGCAAATATTACTGCGATTAGCTGGAATATCTCAGAAAAAAATAAAATGAAAACTACTGCGACAAAAGTTTGTAAGGAAAAGTTTTTCACAAGAATTTCTTAAAAAAAAACTCTCACGGGGCATCAAATTGCATAATTATGTATTCCTTTCTATTCCATAATTCTTACTTCCCCCGTTCCAGCAACCTACCTAGTAATGGATGGGACAAATCGTAATGGATGGGACAGATCGTAATACTACGATTCTGGATAGTTTCATCCATTACTAGGTTGCTATATTATAAGACGGAGAGATTAATGTTTTGGACAAGTTTGAGTTCAAATCTTTATAACTTTGATTAGAAATAATTAAAATAATTAGTTTAAAAACACAAGAACAACATATTTAAATTTATCCTACAAAGTACTATAACAAAAAGTAAAACTGTATTTATTTATTGTATGCATTATAACAAAAAAAACATAATTAAAGATATATTTTGGAGACTATGTTATTATCTAAAACATCAAGAACTATAGAACCGGTGGGAGTATCGTGAATTTACTAATTTTTGTGTATTTCATCTTCACAAAATAATAAATAAATTCGTTTAGAAACTCTAGGAAATTCACTCAATCTGGATATTATGATTATCCTACAATTATGGATCTATTATCCACTTCATACGTTTTGTACGGAATAATAATTCCTCTGTTTCATATAAGTCGTTTTTGACCTTATTTCTAGTCAAACTAAATTAAACATATTATGAAAATATATTCAACGTTAATAAAAGTAATCTAGCATTCTAGATGTTGCTAAATTTTTATTTAAACTTGATCAAATCTAAAGAATTTTGATTAAGAAAAAAGCAAAGCGACTTATAATATGTAACAGAGGGAGTATGCGATTTCAACGGATAAACCATGTACCAAGTCATTAAATTCATCAAATTAACCTGATTAGGATCACACTATTTCATTCATCGAGCCCATTAGCTCTCATAGAATTTCACTCTATTTCTTCCTTTGTAATGCCTAACAATTAAATATAAACTGAAATAAATACCAATGTACAAGTTTCACTCTCTTCCTTTTATTTGTGCTTACAATATAAAAATGTTTCAGTCTACAAGTTTAAGTTATACTAAGTTATTTACAACTTCAGGCGTCTGACAAATAAGAAAAGAGAAAATATAAGGCGACCAGAAAATAGGAAAATTGTTATAACAATCTTCAGATCGCATGAAACATCCCCGGTGAAAATCTAGTATATAAAGATATATATCATTTTACAAAATTCCAATACGCTTAATAAAGTTAGTGAAATATCTTTGCTAAGCAGATACATAACACCAATGTTCATGTTAGAAATGTATTTGAGTTTAATTAGATATTCATATATATAACCAAACATTAAAAATTATTAAAAATAAACTCTAAGATGAAAATTTGTAGTCGGCGATGAGCTGATGGCCAAACTAGAATTGTTCACCCATCAGGATTCAGCGCATGCTTTGTCTTAGCGAACCATGATTTCGGTTTCTGTCACTTTGTAAGAATAGCCTCCAGCAGTAGTGCAGTAGAAGATCTCAGAGTAGGGGATACTGGAGAACTACCCAAGAAGCCATCGTATAGCGCATAATTAACAGTGGCTGATGTGATTTCAGCATCAACTTGACATGGATCTTGGTTTCCTGCAATTGAGATCTACAGCAACAGAAATATCAGTTCGAGTCCTGTAAATTTGTCTTCTTCTGCAAACTTGTTCCGTTGAAGTTCTATTGTAAGGAAGGTAAAAATGGGTATTGATTTGCATCCTTGGAAGGTGCCTACAATAATGCTAGATACTTCATGTAAAAAAGGGTATCATATTAAAGTATGTTATGTTCACAGATAACTGCGATGCTATCACCCTATGAGCTGCCTATCATTCAGTTTTTATATTGACACTGATACAGGTGTTAGAATCTGACTTGATTCAGGTGTCCTATTCCACAATCTTGAAAATCTGTAGCAAAACACCTAAAAGAATGCAAAGCATTTGATTATTAGAGTTTCACTTTACGCTGCTTTATCCAAAAGTCTCACTTTGCACAAGCCCAATCAGTTGGGTACAAACTGTTGCTCTCTATGCCTACACTGTTTCAACAATAGTCAAATACTACAAAATTTTATTTGGGGTGTGCAACAAAGGTCAAGTTCTATTCAGGGTTAAAGAGAGGCTTAGTTCTGCTAGCTTCTTAAGTGAAACTCAAAACAATCTACCCAGTGCAAAATGCAATTTACTCAATAGAAAACAATTGCATCAAATTAACACGAGGTATGAAGGAAAAACAAAAAAGATCATTACTGACTGAAATTTTTTGTGGGATGCCTAATAATATTTTGCACTGGCCTACCAAATTGTTTCACAATTTCCATAAATATCAGTATACCTTTTCAGATTCAAGAGATATTTTCTCTTCCATTAATATTGTATTCTGGCCTACCAAATAGAAACACTAAATACTCTCTTGCATTTAATCCTATTGAACTATAAGTCTATAACACTGTTTCTTGCCAATAATAACATTCAAGCTTTCCCTATGCCTGGGTTTCTGTTAACAGGCATTAACCTTATTGTCACAAATGAGTAAGAACACCTGACTTGTTAAAGAGTTGGCACTTGGCAGATATGTCAGTGCATGAAAAATGGCATCTATTCTCTGGAATACAAGCACAGAAAGTACTCCTTTTTTAAAAAAATAATTGTACTGGACGCCGTAGTTAATTTTCATGAAATTCAGATTTATTTTAAATGGAAAATGATGTATTTTCAACCTTTGAATGTCATATTAAAGCAAAACTGAATGTGACTCACCAGAAGTTTCGAGGGTTCAAGCCAAGTTAGATAGACAGTTGTTCCTTGTTTCAGACTACGCCCTAGAAAGGTTTTCTGGAAAGTTGACAGGCTCTGTTCTTCCTCAGCACTTGGTTTTTTTATTTGACGAGCAATAATGTCATCTAGAGCCTTCACAAACGTCTTGCCATCAACATCTCTAACGAGAATTATACTCAATGATTTCACAACCGGTGCTGCACAACACAGCTTCCATCAGCTAATATTATGATTTTGTGAGCGTTTTTCATTGGCAATTGATACTTACCTTTAAAAATGGAGTCAAAAACTGAGGAAGCATCAAAGGTCTCAATACCAACCTTTTCTCTCCATCGCATAGTGTCAACGCCGATTGAGCAATCAACATAGAATGCAGCAGCATATATTTTTAGAAAGAACTTCTCTCTGTAACCTAGAAGTGAGCTAAAATTCAAATTGCAAACTGTAAACAAATATAATATGGCACACTTAAAGGTTAAATTTAAACAGTTCTTTTACCAATTTATATGCATACAAAAAAACTCATGCAATGCAGATTAACACTTTCTATGTCATCTAAGCTTACTTTTTTTCCACATTGGAAGAGGGTGTAGTTAGCAATGCGGATTTTCCAATGTGGATATGTCCACGCATACCAACATCTAGGTATTCCGCCTTGAATAGCCAAATAGGTTAGCTGGGCATGTGTGGTTATTCCCCAAACAGTTTATTAACTCTTGCATAACTGTAGCTAATCATGTGGGAATCCACCAATTCAAGTCAGAATATAGACCAAATTTAGACATGGTATCACACAAAGAGTATCAAAAAAAATTCCTACTGGATGATATTTAACAACAAAAAACTCAACAGTGAAGATTTGGATGCAGTGACACTCGATAACATTCCGTCTGGCACATTTCTTCATTTATGCAGCTGATTATTTTAGGCCCATTCATGCAGTCGATTGATCAGCAGTCACTAAATACATATTGCTTGTGTTTCATAGATATATTTTACAATTGCAGTCTTCAAGAAGGGATCATGAGCAGAGTTCATGACAGGGTAAACACTACTGGGAGGATAGTTGGCGCAGCATCAGCTGCCAGGGATGAAACATGTATACTTCAGACTGAAAGGGTCAACATTTGGGAGGAACTAGATGGACCCATTCTTTCTTAATCCAAAGAACATAGTTAGTTGGCTTATTGTAGCCACCACTAACACATGAGACTAACATGTATGCTAATAGGTAAGAGTAAACTAGCAAGCCAAACCTATTATGAGGATAAGGAATTCTCTAAACAGAAGGTCTGCTGCTGCTATGCGCCTAGCTGTTGTGTGCCTTTCATTACCTTGCTTAGTGGCCAGCCTGCAGCAACTGTCCAAAGAAATCCGCACTCATGAAAAAAAAGACAACTTTGACTAGTAGTTTCTGTCTCTTAATGTCACAGAAAGTATGCCATCAGGGAAGTGTTTCTAGAGCTAGTTTAATTGTGTAAATTTCATATGGCAAACCTTTTTACTTTAGACAAACAGAAAAGTTATGGCCAATTTGAATATCTACAATTACATTAGTGTTCAAAGTGAAAGAAATTGACTGCATAGTTCAAACTTATATAAGCCATAGCTTCACCATTTTTGAACTGGGCATGACAGTTCACTGAGGTACTGTTGTCCTAGGTACTACAACAATACTATCCAGTATCAGCATGATCTGCAGTATTTTGTCAGACTGCAGTAATGATGGGTAGGAACGCTGTCATATTTTCCAACAATAATATCTATTGTTCATAAAATATTGAACTGTTTAATATCCATCTAGTTTGCCAGGTTAATATTTAGTTTGATGCTATATATAATTGCTAGGAGAGCACATCTATGTGATGGGCCTCCCTTCCTTCTTTGGTCAGCTCAGAGCATTACTGGACACTGTATGGGAAATCCTCTAGCCATCTTGTCAATGTCGAGTTATATACACTCAGTATTTAGACCATCCAGACATGCACGTGTAACATGGAGCTGCTCCAAGCCTGTGGTCAACTGTTCATTCATGAAATCTTTCATAAATTACTATGAACCCTTGCATAATTTGGAAACATCATGATGTTTTGCATGAAACTATGTAACCTAAACTGGTGGATAGGACTAATATAGTTAGATTAGATGCTTCAACAGGGAAAAATATTCCTAGAACAAGAGCCAACTAGTGTAGCTCAGTTGAGTTGTTAAAAGAAAAATGATTATGTGATATAAGTAGATAAGACATATTCAACGAACTGTAGCAGATATTTTGGACAGTTATCCAAAAAACTGTCCATTATAGTACTAACTACAGCAGCAATATGTAATGACTGATGAAAAGTTCAAATGGTTCTTCTCATTGTGTCAATTGGTTAAAGAATGGATTGACAATACCATGCTATTTGTTACAGAACAAAACCTATGAGGTATTTCTTTTAGCAAGGATGCGAAGTAGCATAGTCAAGCCGATTTAATCCCGTAGGGAAACGGACAAGAAAATGTACCTGTTCCAAGAATAACCAAAGGCTCGGTGTAGCCCGGAACAGCTATCTCTCGAGGAAATTTCACATTTGTTGTGTCTTCTATAACAAAAGCATCCCCAACTACAGGCAAAGTATAAAAAGATGTGATGAGTAGTTCTCTTATGATTAAGATATTAGAAATCATTTATTGGACACAAACTTTTGAACAAAATTTCAATGGCAGAAAGCTGATGGAATTACACCTGCTGCTCTAGAATACAGTCAATAGCTTTCATTATGTTCCTAAATGCATGTGATTCACTTTTGGAGAGAAGCTTCCATCCCTTCATAATGCCACAGCTATTTAAAATTTACCCTTGCAACCGGTGGCAGATTTACCGCCCGGCGAACCCAGGCAGCCGCCCAAGCTCGTCGTAAAAAACTCCAATGGACTTTTATGTTTTCTAATGATTGAAGATAGCTTTTGTTTAGTAAATATTAGATGTAGTTAATATCTGTCCGGGTTCTAAAATATTTCTGGATCCACCACTGCCTATTCACTAGTATAATGCACAACAAATAATAAGTGCTCAGGCATAACCGGCTCATGAATCCACTAGTGTTCCATGAGCATCTGCTCAAATACCTAGATAGGGAACTGGTTACTCTAGAGAGTAGGAAATGGAACGGCAGTTTGATCTTCTGTAAAGATGTCTTTCTTCAAGTGCAAAATTCTTGAATGTCATCTACTGAAGAATGGAGAGAGTAGGAAGCTAGAACATTATTAATTTCACAAGCCACTTCTCTGAAGTCTCAAACACAAGATAATATGCTCTGCTAATAGAACAGCAGTAATATTTCATATAAGCCTGCTATATTACTTCATGACAATCTTGACAAAAAAAAATCACACGTTCTGACCTATTATTTTCCTTCATTGAGAGCGCAACTGAATCATATGTCTAATGTGCACACTCTGTGGAATAACTATTTCAGGTATCACTGTGTATTCTTCACATCATAGCAAATGCATATCCAACAGATTAACTCTTATCAGCAGTAAGAGAAAAGGCAGGACTGCTGGTTACTCGAATATTGCCAAGAATATGATGGTCCTTATCATGCTTGATTGCATGGATGAACTCATGAGAATGTAACTGGTACTTTGGTTTGGTAACATGAGGCAAGCTTGATGTCAGGGAAAAAAGATTCTATGAACTATATGTAATGTTAGTTGAGTAGGCTGTGTGCATGCACACACAAACACAAAAACAGAATGAAAAACTTGCAGTTCTTCCTCAACCATGATTTCAATCTTACTCTTGGCGCTTGGCGTCAGCATGGGCCATGGAGGCAGGCCAGCACCAAGCACCTTAATGCCAAGGTGAGGCTAGGTGGCCACTATAGCAGGAAAAATCTGCTAGGTGGCCTTGGCAGCTGCCAAGGGGAACACTGAATGGTATTAAATTATCTGGCGTCAGAAAGCTGAAAGTGGGGTAATAGAACTCTAATGGATTGAAACAAAATTGAAGTGTGGTAGTACTTTGGAATCCACTCGCGGCAATAATCATTTCTAAGTCCCACAATTTGTACCTTTCTTTATTTGACTAATGAAGCAGTATACATATGCTTTATCTTCTATACAATCACATCTACTTTTTCCCAGAATCAGTTGGCTGCAAATTCATCAACTTTTCTATTTTTGTGGTTATAAACTTTTGCAATTTAGCGTTATCACAATCAGTAAGCCTATATTTTTAAACAAACAAACAAACACAGTGCCCAAAGTTGTGGTGGATGACAATTTAAATATACAATAAGGTAAAATGTAACCAATATCCTCAAGCGAAAGCACTCAATGCTGTGTCCTCTATTTTGACAACTTGACATTACGTCAGCTCAAGTTGATGTAAACAAAGAGAGCACAAAACATATGTTCAGGTCCCTAAGGCTACAATTCCCAGATTCATATGGTAAGTATGTGTATGAAATCATTGCAAAACTGTTGCATTGCAAGCAAGTAATTGAAGGTATGCATGTAGGCCTAAAGTCTATGGGTTTAGAAGCTTGCAGATTATGACTATAAAGTTGTGATGGGGTTCTCAGCAATTGGTAACACTGACAATTTCCATTCAAATTAGCTGATAGTCCTCTGGCTATGACATGCGAAATGAGATAATTAGGGGCCATAAATCAAGTAACCTCTTGACCATCAACGAAACTGAAAACCGACCGAGCGATCAGGCTCATTGCCCATCCAGAGCTTGAATCATTGTACAATGTAAAAAAACTCCTTACGAGAATATTTAACTGCATCCGTGCCCTACACATTCTAATCTCCAGTATCGGTATAACCCCAATTCGCCCTGGAGACTAGAAATGCATGCGAAACCTGAAGTCCGTATGAATGCTTCCATAAAACAGAAATCCCTAGAGTCCCTCACCTGTGCCGCCCCCCGCTGCAGACGGGATCGGAAGCCTCCGGGCGGCGGCGGCGGAGCGGCGGTAGCAGTTGGCAAGTCCGGACGCGAGGGGCACGGAGCCGGCCGGCACGCCGTGGGGCGCCGGCGCACGGAGGCGAGTGACGGACCCGGAAGCGGGCCTGGCGACCGCGACCGCGACCGCTGGTCCGGCCAGCGCGGAGGACACGACGGGCACCGCGCTCATCGTGCGGCGGGCGGCGCTAGCGCTACGCGTTTGGAGTGGTGAACGGAGAGCGAGTGGAGTGGAGAGTGGAGAGTGGGAGACCGGAGAGGTGGTCGTGACTCGTGACTCGTGGTGGAGCAACCTTATGCGACAAGAGCGACAACCAAATTAGTTGAAGCAAAGAAGGATAAAACTAGGATGGAGAATTATCAGACATACTTAAAGTTGCTGGAAAAAGATACTGTCAATTTTAGTGATGCAAAACTCAATAGGCATAAAGCTGTCCTCAAAAAGCTAGCTACAGAACTTGCAGAAGAATAAATTATCCCTAACCTATGTTTGTACCCCTATTACTTAGTGTGTCACTATATGCTCTATGGTTAACTTACTAGCAATATTTAGAATTATGATCAGTTTGTAGGGTAAGTAACGTTGTATTGTGAACTCAGCAAATAATGAATGTAATATTTCACCAGTAGAAGACATATAAAGTGATAATATTCAGCCCACAATCATAATATGTCTGAACCTTTTGCTCTGTAGTCTCTAATTTGTCAGATAATAGCAGCAAATCGTTTCTTCAGTAACCAGTAAAAAAATATACACCGATAATAATTAGCACAACATTTTATAATATGGTGGTTTGAATAGATAGAAAAGTAAGATATGTTTATCAAATACTTGTTGGAATAGATTATTTTTTAAAAAAAACAAGGCATGGTTGTTTAGAATCTAGCTGTTGGAATACATCCAAAAAGCAAGACACGGTTATTTAAAATCTAGCTGTTGGAATACATCCAAAAAGCAAGACATGGCTGTTCAGAATCTAGCAGTTGGAAACTAGCCGTTGTAATGGAAGCAAAAGCAAGGCATCAATGACCCTATGGAAGCTCAGCTTGAAGCAAAAGCAAGTAATTTCGATGAGTCCATCACTAGTGAGAAGCTTGAAGAAATTAATGATCCTATGGAAGCTTAGCCTGAAGCTCGGCTCGAAGCTCAACTTGAAGCGAGATTGATGGCACACCTTGCTGGTAGCTCTAATCACCTAGAGTGCTAAAAATAAATTATATGCCCAACGTCAAGAATCGGCAAGAGAAGATGTGGAAAGAGCCTTTAGGGTTTTGCAAAAACGTTGGGCCATCATACGTCACCCGACGCAAATTTGCGCGGCATGGATAGCAGCGTGGATGATGGGGATAGCAATGCCTGGTTGCAGAGAAGGAAGGGTTTGCGGTGTCGATGGTGGGGGTGGAGTGGATGCGGCGTCGGGTGGTAGTAATAAAGGGGATTGCGGCATTGGGTGGCGGGAGAGGAATCCGGCGTTGATGGAGGTGCAGAGGGGTTTGCGGCATTGATTTTGGGGGGAGGGGGTGCAGATTGCCACATCGAGAGGTGGGGACGGAGGGGTTGGCAGCGCCGGGTGGTGGGAAAGGAGCAGATTTTGTGGCATCGGGTGGCGGCGGGGAAGGAGCGATGCAGTGGAGACTGCAGGGCCAGTGGAAACAGCGAGAGGATTTGGGGATCAATCCGGAACTTGCATGAAGGAATTGAGGAGCGTTGATTTTTTTTATCCTGTAGACCCCACCTTATTGCCGTCTCACGGAAATAAGCAATGTGGAGTGGGTCTCCTCCTACTACCGCCTGTCACTTGGTCCCACACTGATACCCATGTTGATAATATACATTGATGTTGCCCTAAGATGCAGATATTAGTATATTTTTAAAACCGTTAAATGGTTTGTTTTACATGAAAACTTTATATATAAAAGATATTCTACAATATCAAATAAATATATGTTTAAGTTTGTAATAATTAAAACTCAAATAATCATGCGTGGATGGTTTGTCTTGTTTTACGTGCACCGTAAAATTTTTGTCTTAATCCAAGTCAAATGGGGGCATAAAGAGAGCAACTATGGGACAAGATCCTGTCACAAGACCAGGATACTTTAATGATCGAGCTCTTACATCCGACTTGGTCTATCTCCTACGTGTAAAGCAACATTACTCACTCAACTCCTTACCCCAATGATTGTAGCAACAACAAGAAAGGGAGGGAGGCATTGACGAGATGAAGCACTAGCGGCATGTGGCTTGCCATCCGCCCATGCGACGACGGTGCGTCCCCCCTCCCCTACCTTGATACCCTGTACTGAACCTGGTACTTGTCGGTACCGATCAGACCAGGTGCCTAGGCACCAACTCTAATACACTAGGTGGCGCGGCAAGTTTGGATTATGGGTACCAAGCTTGAATATCAGTCGTGATACCTTTAGGTATCAGGCTTGATACATGTGGGTGTTGTCAAAGTTCAATAGTTGCAAGTCAAGGATGACGTACTTGCACATAATACCGACGAGCTGTAGGATGGGCTAGCGAGAAGTACCACCAAATCGAGTCATCCGACTCCAAGGCCATTGACGCGCATGGAATCCGATGACACTATAGTGCCCTAGGGCAAGGTGACTAGTACGAACCCCCGCCTTTGGGCACAATACCCAGGGAGGCCGCACTGTGGCGAGGTCCTCCAAAATCTAAATCTCGTATGACATGAGGTTGAGCTTGGAGAGTGGAGACTAAATCCAACACATCTCGCTTGTCAGCGTCTTCCTCGACCATCATAGCGATTTGTGACTTTGGAGGCAGTATAATTAGTGAAGCTCTTGAGTCTTGACGACGACCATCCTGAATGGATCTCCACGATACAAAGGGATGGAAAACTCATGACGAAGATGGGGGGAGGATCAGGGTGGTACGTAGGTGAGCGGTGGGGGTGGATTGGAGTAGGACATGAAGGGGGAAAGAGATAGGAGGTCAACCATGAAGAGGATATGAGGGAGGAGTAGAGAAAGAGGATGGAGAGACGCGTGCCTAGTCTAGTTTTTATGTGTTCACTGATGATTTTTAAATTATATAAGCAAATTTCTATTGTTTATATTTGTCGTGTAGAAAAAAATAACAGTATAACACATTTTGAAATATTTGTGATGTCAAAATTGAATATGTAGTACTATATTGTACTCCAAAAAGGGGGAAAGGAATTAGGAAAATAAGAAGGACGCTATCACGCCTAGCGTGTCCAGCTCGGGACGCAGTTGAAAGTAGCGTCCGCCTGATGGGTCGACCTAAAACCCAGATATCCAATCCGGCCCTTCTCATCAGTTGTCAGTCACGCATCGGCGCCGCCCTCCGGCCAGCAGCGACTCGCCGACACATCTTCAAAGAGTCCCGCCGTCGTATGCGTGGCTCCCCTCCCCGGCCTCTCGTCTCGTGGGAGGTCTGGATCGACCGCTTCCTCCGCTCGTCGCGGCGAATCCAACCAACGCCGGCGTCCCTCCGCGCCGCAGCTTCCTGTGCTGAATCTCGCCGCTCCCCGAGTCCGGGAACGCACGGAGCGGGCGCGGCGAGCGGCTGGCACCTTGGTTCAAATCTCGCCGCGAAACTTCTAGTAGCAGGCAGCGGTTTAAATCTCGAATTTATCCATTTTGGTGTTCGGCTGAGCCCCCATGGCCGACGCTAGGTCCGCCCCTGAATCGCTGCCGCCCGCGTTTCTCGAGTTCCTCCAGGAGAATGGCTTGGACCCAATGATGTATTCCATGGTCGACACCATCCCACGATACATAAGGTGAGGAGGCAGCCTGAGATTGATTCAGAGCTACTTATGCTCTGATGAATCACCGGAAGGCTTTCATAATTGTTATTGTCAGTTTACTTGCCTTGCATTGCGTTGAGTTTGCTTTGTGATTCCAAGGCTAAAACCAGGCATGGAGCCCCATATTCCAGAGATTCAGAGCGAGCTGACGTGCCATCTCAACAAGGTTTCATGGCTGCCAGATTTCTACGCAATTCCGCCTCAAGTTCAGATTGCTAGCTCCATGGCCTATCAGCAAGGAAAGGTGACAAGACATTAAAATTTACTTTTGATTCTGTTCTTTTTTTACAGGCCAGCGCAAACGCATTGGATTGCATAATCGGTTAATGGTATCCTAGATTAACTGAATGTTATCTGGTGTTTATGCAATTTTATTTTTATTCTATGAAGTGTTTGCCAGATAATTTATCCTAGGTAGAACTCTTAAAACATCTTACTTTTATGTGCAAGAGAGAAATTGTCTCAAGTACTCCTTAGTCCTTATAACACTACTTGTACTGTTACAGGATAAAGCTGCTGTGCAATCATGTCTTATCATGTGTTCTTTTATTTGCTCCATTGCTTCCTGCTAAGACATTTTAAATACATTTGGCTAGATCTATGGAATTGATGCAGCTTCTGGAGCTGCTGTCTTAGCACTTGATGTTCAACCAGGAGAACATGTTCTGGACCTCTGTGCTGCCCCAGGTAATTAATTCAATATTGTTATATATTACATCACACCAGTATTTTATCTGTGGCAGATGTCTACCGTGTATAACAATGGCCCTTTGCTAGACTTGTTTTTTTGCGCCACATGTATTCAGCAGTAATGGAAATACCTAGTTTTCTCCATAAAACACAAGAGTAATTATCTTTCCTGATTGGTTGATCTTTGGGGAAGTAACTGCTCTCTCTGCATCGTTGGATTGAACCAAATCTGTTCAGCCCCAAACCAGATTTATGGATTGACACAGTCTTTAAGTTTGAAATATATGTTGAACTTTATTCTCAAATAGGTTTGATATAGCATTGTTATATTACATATACATTGCAAAATTGGTGATGGTCAAACTCGAACGCCATTTTTGCATGATTGTTTTGTCATAAGTCTGTAGTTTCTGTTAGATTATTTGTTAGTTGTGGAATTATTCTGAATGATGTGCTCATATCATGTGCAAGGTGCAAAGCTTTGCATGCTTGCAGATATGCTTGGAGGCAGAGGTTCTCTGACTGGCGTTGATGTTGCAAAGCACCGTCTTGCGGCCTGTCGTACGATGTTGCAGAAGTATTCTCTCGGAGATCGTTGTCGTCTCTTTGTTGCCGATGGGACTTCATTTTCTATATTACCTGTGAACTCTAGCTTGGGTAATGGAGAAGGTAATAGTTTGCCTCTTTAAACAGAGTAAAATCCTTGCTTTCTGTCTTATTGCTCATGGAGCACTTGAGTAGATGCATCTGGTTGCTTATCTATCACAGGATCAACTTGTCATAAGGACAATGGAAGTACATTGTCGGAATGGACTTCAAAGAGATCGTGGAAAGACCGACAAAAGTCTAAAAAGGCAAGAATGGCGGGTTCACCTCATCTAACATCAACTTCAGAACCTGAACTGATATACTATGGCAAACATTCAGGATTAGTTGGATTACGCAAATGTGATGCTATTCGTCCATCAGCTGATGATGAAGCCCAGACATCTGGCTATGACAAAGTATTCCACAGAAACCTTAAACAATACTGTCCTTTCTTTCTTCAGTACAATGCTGTTTTTTTAGTGTTACTGAAAACAAACTAATGATATTTTTAGTTTTTTATCTGTGCACTTTGATCATTTTAGGAAGGAAATGTCTTGTGATTTAGTGTGCTATCTTGAAAAGTTTGAAGACCTAGCCATTCCAAATGTTGCACGCTTCAATCATGACATAAATCTAGTGTCTCGTTTAGTCATCAAGCACTCAATACATCTTATTGAGAACTACCATATTCCCTTGTCCAATAAAGTATTCATGTTTATAACTTTGTGTATGTAACATTTTGACTCTTGATAGTTTCCTTTCTATAATTAAGCAGTGCTTCTGTGTCCACCAGAAAATTAACTTGCATGCTCACCAGAGAATCAGCTTGTGCAAATATTTAAAGTAGTACAATTAGTAGTGGAGTTTCATGTAGATGCAAATCAGGTCTTTGAACTTCTCTTAATATTGCGTTGTTACTTTGTGAGAGAGAAATGAAGCACTCTTCTTATGCAACATACTTTTCCAGCAGGAATATCCTTTGGCAGTTTATTTCACAGCTTGGATAATATTTTTAGTTTGTTATGTTTCAAATGCACACAGGTCCTAGTTGATGCAGAATGTACTCATGATGGATCCATAAAGCACATCCAAAAATTTGAGTTCTGGGGATGGAAAACCTTAGATCGTCGTGTACTTGATGCAGAAAGAACTGATGACCTGCTTCATCTTCAGGTACTACTTTCAGTCTTGATGCTTGCTTGAAGGGTTGACAGTTGGCACCCAATCAAGCTATGTACATTTTAGATATAATTACTTATCTCGTTAGCATGTGAGTGCACAATTTCATGAGTTTCATCCGTTGTGCAGTTACGCCTTCTCACTAATGGTTTTAAATTATTGAAAACTGGTGGATCACTAGTATATAGTACTTGCAGGTGAGTAATCTCTTCACATGCAATTCCAATATTTGATGCCTCCTCAATCGCTTCCCAGCTGTGTAGTCACCTTTTCCTATTGCATTTCGTGTCTTACTTAACTACTGATGGCTTGCGTTGAAATAGCTTGACAGTTGCACAAAATGAGAATGTGGTTCAACAGTTTCTTTGCAAACACTCTTCAGCAGGTACAGAATAGCCGTGTTCCTCATTTCAGTATTATGTATATCCCTTATATTTTTACTTTGAAGATGAATATTGTTATTTTTCTCAAATGGACTGATTAAATTGATTGTGGTACTTCTAGTCAGGAAATCTTTAGTAGTGTACTTGTTCTCACTTCTTGGTGTGGTTAAGTGAACCTTACTTATAACAAGATTATTTAGTTTGTCTTGGTTCATTGAAGTTGTCAAAGTTCAACAGATCTGCCCTGATGACCTTCTGGGATTTCTTTTGCAAACATGCAGAGCTACAAAAGATTGATTCAGCTGACAGTTGGCCTTGCAGAAGTGGCAGCATCTTCAAAACATTGCGATTTGATCCTGCAACTTCACAAACGAGTGGCCTTTTTGTTGCCAAGTTCACTAAATTACAGATTTAGAGCATATCTGATCAGTCTCCATGTAGTTCTAAAGATGTGCATTTAACTAGTATATGATTCCATGTGCACGTTAGATGTTCACAAGTAACTGTATGCTTCAAATTCCCGGAGCCATCACTGTTATGGTTTGCGAAGCAAAGTGGTGCAAACTGTCAGCTATGCGAATCTAAACTTGCAATTTGGAAGGTAAAAGCTTGGTTTCAGTTAACATTGTTGTCTGCTTTCATGCTTTGGTATATGCTATTTATTCATTAAGTCGAGAGTCGATTTTACATAAGACATTCTCGTGTTTGTTGAATTTTTCGTACTACCGGATACAGGTATGATTTGTAATACTGGCTTCAACTCGAGTACATCCGAAGACAGATAAAGAGGTGTCATAGAATTTTTGCGACGCTATCTGTCAAGATATAAGTTTGGCATCAATACACAGTAAAAATTTCCAGGGTTGATAACATGGCATTGTGTGCGCGCGCGTGCGTGTGCTTTCCTGGACTGGTATCATGCCCTTACTCAATGCAGCAACTTGAGGATTGTGTCATGTCCAAAATAATATGGTGTAACTTACCTTGCGTATATTTGTTACTATACTTTACATGGGCGTTGCTCTTTTACTATTCCCTTCATCTCATTTTAAGCGTCTCAATGTCCAACTTTTGATCGTCCGTCTTATTTGAAATTTTTTTATGATTAGTATTTTTATTGCTATTAGATAATAAAACATTAATAATACTTTATATGTAACTTAATGTTTTTTATTTTTTTTCAAAATCTTTTCAAATAAGACGGATGATCAAAGTTGGACACAAGGAAACTCATGAATGCGGTTAAAATGGGACGGAGGGAGTACTACTTTAAAAAAAAGAGTCCAAAAGCAATCCAGAATGCCAAACGTGAATTACCAACCATATCGATACCACGGCAATTAAACCAGCCTTTCTTTGAATAACAGACAAAAAGAAAGAAAAATATAAACTTAAAAAAATACATTTACAAAATAGCTAGACTATCACCACTGTCGCCACTAGATGATCTCTATCAATAAAATGATGCAGAGCTTTTGCCTTTGTTTCAACAAAGCAAGTTGCAAATATGATCATATTGCATCTCCAACATTTTAAGCACTATACCTGTGAATTGGTCCCATCTGGACACAAATGGGTGCTTCAGTCCACTTAAATCAACTACGGCAGATGTTCCTAGAAAGCACAGATTTACTACCATCAGAAACAATATTGTGTATGTTTTTCGCAATTGCTATGTACAAACTAACATCAATATTCAATACGCACAAATCAAGCCATACCTTTTTGAAAAATAAAGTATTAAAAACTCGCATGTACACCCTACAGGGATGTACAGGCCTAAAGTTCATACAAGGCTGCGTTAAGTTAGACCAGCAGGTTCGGTACTTAGCTCTCATTCACGAAAAACGAGCTAATCTACTAGCGCATGATTAATTAAGTGTTTGCTTTAAAAAATTGAAGAATAGATTAATATAATTTTTAAAGCAATTTTCCTATAGATTTTTTTTAAAAAAATAGTTAATACCCAGCTTTGCTATGGATAAAAATGAATTATGCATGCGAAAGGGCCTATAGCCTAGTGGTTACATGAAAGAGTTTCAGTAGCATCATAGGTCCTAGGTTCGACTCTCCATGGGAGTGAATTTTTCAGGATTTAACGGCTTTGTGTTTTCAGTGGTAGGCGGATTTAACGGCTTTGTGCTTTCAGTGGTAGACGACGTACACCTCGACAACGAGACGCCTGTGGTGACTTCGTCAATCTCTAGGATGGATTTACCGGCCTAGTCTTCGAAGATGCTCATAGGGGTAGCGGTGAGTGTGCGTGCATTGTGAGTGTTTGTGTTGTACTGTGTAATTTTAAAAAAATGAATTATGCACGTGCTAACATTTTTTTGGAACAAATAAATTGTAAGGTTTTTGAACAAGTTCATCCTTGATTCCGTGTGGATATTTTTACATGGTAAACTTAAATTCAAGAGATGAAATAAGCTATTAAAAATTTGTAGAAGGACCGTTTTATAAAATTAAATTACAGAAAGGAGTAGTTGGTAAAAAAAATACAACACAATTGGTGAGTGGTAGATTCGCTACCACAACCATTATCTTCTTTTAAAGGAGTATAGAAAACACAACGTTTTAAAATACTTCGGGAAGCATGCACGTGAAAAAGGAGTAACAGATTAACACGCAATTAATTAAGTATTAACTAAGAAAAACTTGGAAAATCGGTTAATGTGATTTTTTTTCAAACAACTTTTCTATAGATTTTTTTTACGAAAAAAACACCATTTAATAGTTTGAGAAAAGTCAACAAAAACGAGAGAAAGTTTTGCACTTGCACAAATGAACTCAGCCAAAGAGCAAGTTTAATAGTATAGTCAAATAGCTAGCTTTAAAAATTGACACATCATCTACCGTCACTTTAATAGCCTACCCATATAATAGTTTTATATAATTATATATTACACTATTAATATGGCTCACCACATAATATTTTGGAGCTCGTGCTACAGCTGTCTATAAATCTGTAGCCACTTTTCTTCTTTCTTCTTTAAATGTGTTTGTAGCTAGCTTTCAGTCAAATAAAAAATATATGTTTGTAGCTAACTTATAATCCGTTATTGTACTTGCTCTAGTTCATTTTACAAGTTGAGCAATACCTGTACAGTAGGACCAGCGTACATGCCATTGCGCCCATTAATATTCGCTGGTTCGTCTTTCTCAAGCCAAACACAATTATCTGGCACATCATCTACTTTTGCATGTCCAACCGCTGTAGTTGAAGCACAAGTTGTTAGTGATAAAATCAAACTGCATACAAGTTTTGTTAGATAAACGAACACAATGTACTAATGTACGTGGTAATTGTTATTTCCAACACCAAAAAATTGAATAGAACAGTGACTAAATAATAGACCATCCGTCCCAAAATAAGTTCATTCCTTACATATCAATACAAAACCAAAAAGACCAAAATACCCTCACTTTCTCAAATCCCAATACAATCATTTATCTATTTATCTATTCCCAAAACATTTATTATTCTCTACTTTTATAAATTTTGATATAATGATTACTAAGAAATAAACTTATTTTGTGATAAACCTGAGAAGCTAGATGTGAACTTATTATGGAACGGAGGGTGTATATATGTTTTGAACCAATATCAGATATGATTAGTATTTTACCTCCACCAAAGAAGTGGAGTTAAGTTAAATACGAAACCTGACAAACATGTAACATGATGACAGTGAGGGGTTTCACTTACAGAAGCTAGAAAATGGGTAATCGTGAAAATAGGAGCAAACATGCCCAGTAGATTCGAACTGGTACTGTGGGTCAGGGGTAACGACATCAAGAAAAGCACAAGAGCTCACTGAAGTAATGCAGTGTATGTTCCCATCACTTTGAGGATATAAAACAGCGGTTGGACAAGGGGCATTCATAACATCATCCTTATGTAACTCGCCAAGTCTCACTACAAATCAGGAGGAAAAAAAAGAAGCATTACAATCCATAAAAAATCTTGAAAGCCAATCTAAAACGATGTGTAAGGGTATGTTCAACATTTTTCAATTTTTATTTTCTCTTTTTTCACGCACACGCTTTTCAAACTACTAAACAGTGTATTTTTAAAATAATTTCTATAGAAAAGTGATTTAAAAATTGTATTAATTTATTTTTCAAGTTTAAAAAATCATATTAATTTATTTTTCAAGTCTTTTAGAAAAAAAATATTAAACGGAGTAATACTTCATTAATCAAGTGCTAATCCGGTGTTATATTTTTGCGAGCCAGTGGAAGGATTCCCAACCCCAAACGAAGATAGCCTAAACAACACTGAGCAACCAATAGGCCGGGTTGGGTAGTAGCAACACTACTGTGTTAGAAACACAAATTGTTCATTAAGAGCATCTCCAACAGCCTCTCTACCAGCCTCTCTAAGCCAAATTTTAGCCATTCAACCACAAAAACGAGGTCCAATAGACTGGCCAACCGGGCCAAAATCGCTGGCTGGCTGGCTAGATTTGGCCAGCCAAAACGCCTCGCCAAACCGGCCCGCAGCAACTGTACTCCTCGCAAGGTCGTCGGGGCGCCGTCGTCGTCGTCGGGGTCGTCGTCGAGGTCGTCATCGCGAGCCGTCGCCACCATCGCCATCCCCGCCCCGAGCTCCGCCGCCGCGCCCCTCAAACCATTGTCGCCGTCGCCGCCTCCCGCCTCCCAGCGCCGCCGCCATCGCATCCCCGCCCCGAGCTCCGCCGCCGCGCCCCCCAAATCGTTGTCGCCGTCGCCGCCTCCCCACGCCTCCCGCCTCCTAGCACCGCCGCCATCGCCATCCCTGCCGCCCCCCCAAACCGTTGTCTCCGTCGCCGCCTTCCGCCTCCCTACGCCGACTCCCGCCGCCCCGCGCCTACCGCCTCCCTGCGCCGCCTCCCTCCTCCCAGCGCCGCCGTCATTGCCGTCGCCGCCTTCCGCCTCCCCACGCCGACTCCTGCCGCCCCGCGCCTGCCGCCTCCCCGCGCCGCCTCCCGCTGCCTCCCTCCTCCCAGCGCAGCCGCCATCGCCATCCCTGCTCCCCAAACCGTTGTCGCCGTCGCTGCCTTCCGCCTCCCCGTGCCGCCTCCCGCCGCCCCACGCCTGCAGCCTCCCCGCACCGCCTCCCGCCTCCCCGTGCCGCCTCACCGCTGCGCCATGCTTCGGCCGCCTCGACGGGAAGAAAGGGGAAAAAGAAGTAAAGAGAGAGGAAGGGGGAGAGAGAGAGGAAGAAGAGGGAGGTGAGGCTGACACGTGGGTCCGATTTTATTTCGGAGAGGATTAATAGAGAGTCTGTTGAAGTGAGTATCTAGTTTGACTAGCTAAATTAGATGGAGAGTTGGCTATATGCGTGTTTGGAGAGTTCGATTTGGAGAGGTTGTTGGAGATGCTCTAACTTGGTACTCTTGAAAACAATGCAAGTATAAATGTTTTACACTTCTATATATTCTCAGAGACAAGAAACTGATTACTCCATGGGAACTAATAAATCCATGCCCACAATTAGTATATATTAATAGCTGATAATAGATAAACAAAATAAAAAAAACACATATTGAAACAGAGTACAGAAAACAACCTGGCTTGCTGTTACTGTTACTTGCTAGAACAGCAGGCTCCACCCAATCATACGATTTAACGTGCATCGAGCCATACAGTAATTTGGTCAACACAGTCATTCCCGGATGATCATGGAGAGGAATGGTGACTGAAGTTGGTAAGCAGAAGATTCCAATCTACAGGACACACATGAAACACCACCATTTGCTGAGTAATTAGCAGAGGTTTCGGTCGCAAAAGTGCTACAGGAAGAGATATCCATGTTGAACTTGAACCTACAGAGAAGGCATCGCAGTTGTAGACATGCAGATACATGAAGGGCGGCGTCACTGCTGAGAGTGAGTCCTTCAGGATGTTTGATTCATCGACATCATCATCTCCGAGTCCAACATCCGCAGGAGTGATGGTGTCTGAACACAAAACACATCATTTCTCACCGTATTAATCGGCGTACAAGAGATATTGCAACGAATGGAGTAAAGTAACCAACTGGGCATTGGTGCTGGCAACGTGGAGTTCTGAACATAATTAACAAGAGACAGACAGGACGATGAGATGAGAGTGGACGCGCGGCGGGAGGCGGTGTACCCAGGAGAGAGGAGACGGCGCGGATGGCGTGGTCGGGCGGTGGAGAGGAGGAGGAGGACGGGGGCGGGAAGGTGCGCTTGCAGAGGTCGTACAGCGCCTGCACCCGCGAAGGCGTCGACGGCGGCGACCGCGAGGGCATGATGTATCGCCGCCAGGAGAGGGGCGGACGGACGAGGATTTGGCCCGGGCTCCACTGGTCAGGTAGTTGCTTCAATGCTTAATTCGTACTATGGACTATGGTAACCGGGATTTTAGTGCGGGTAACATTGCATGTCGGACTGCTATTTTTAAACTAGACCCAGTCAGAACAGTGGGCCGACCGATCAGCTCGCGTTTCTAATCCCCGCTTAATTTACAACGTCTTTTACTAAGGAAAAATGCTACGGGATACCATCCCGTTCGGACGGAATAATATCTCGGAGGTATTTTTTTTGATACCTGATAGGTATCGACTGATACCTCGTTCTGACGGAATGATACCTCAGAAATATTAGCTGATACCTAGGTGGATTGAAATGTTTAGTAGAGATTTTTATGGAGTTTTATATCTTTGACTTCGATTCTTAGATGTGACATACACATTGGACATCTATACATCTATACTGCTATATCTATATCTATACTAATATAAAAAGGAGGAGTTGTCCCCCTCCAATCCTACAGGCCAAATCACCCGGATCAATCCCTACTATTCATCCGCATCTGCATCGCCTAATCCCTAATCCGCACCGTTCACCGGCGATTTCACCCTCCCCACAGCGACCGTGATTTCACCCTATCCATCCACCGTGATTTTAGCCTGCGCGAAGACTCCGCCTCCGCACTCCTCGCTCCTCCTTGCGTGTCCCCATTGCTGCCGCATTCCTCCACTACTCCTGTCGAAGCCTAGGTCGTCCCTAGCCGTGCTTCCGCCGCCGCACTCCATCGCTGCCCCGCCGGAGACAGAACCGAGGTCTCCCCTGGCTATCGCCGCTGTTGCCGCACTCCACAGCTACCCCCACTAGAGACCGAGCCGTGGTCGCCCCCGGCCGTAGCCACCGCCGCCACCGCACTCCACCGCTGCCCCCCGTCGTAGCCGAGGTCGTCCCCAGTCGCCGCCGCCCTCCATCGCTGTCCCCGCCGGAGCCAAGGTCGTCCCTAGCCGCCACTACCGCCGTGAGCGTGTGAGATTGAGGGAGGCGGCGCTGGTGATCGGGCATGGGTGGCATGCATTCCGAAAGGCGGTGGCGGTGGTGGTGGGCCGAGGCTTGACTACCAGAGGCCAAGGCAGCGGCGCCATAGGAGCACAATGCAGCTGCGTTGTGCGGGCAGCAAGCCAGCACGTGGGTGGGCACCGAGGAGCAATCAGCTGCCTCCCTGGTAAGCAGCAAACAGGACCGCAGCAGTCGGCTAGTATTTGTTAGCTGGGCTTGGGATCCTGTTTTCTCTTCTCATATACTTATTTGTGATTTGCAAATTGTAATACCTGATTTATGGATTTGGGAATTGGGAAGATGGATTGAAAAGGAAGGGAAAGCATCAACATTTCAAGAGGTAGATTTGGGGAATTTTGATGAGTCTGTTTATATTAGCACCAAATTGAAGAGCTATTTTAACAGATTCAAGTACTCCGTTGTACTGCGCCCCGGTCGCTACCGAGACAACATCAATGCCATTGTCCTACCCACAACCGCCATGCCACAACCGCTGGATCGAGCAGTCAAGCACCCCATGTATTTGCGTAAACCCTGCAATAGTCTACATCGATCCTTCTTCTAATTGTGCTGAGGTAATTTTTTTAAAAATCACCCTAACATTAGTGGGCTGCACCAATTACCAATATATTTCTGTATAATAGTTTTGAACATGGTGTTTGCTATTTGAAATATGATGTTGCTCTCATGACCAATGAAGATTTACATTAATTACTTCAGGTTAGATTTGTAAATTATGTAGTTTTTCCTTAATGCATAATCATTGGCTGTGTTTGGTGCTAAATACTGCAGTTTCTTTTAATTTTGTAGAAAAATCTGTAAGAAATTGGAACAGCAGAGGGAACCTGAACATTTTCTTGGTATGTACCTATACCAGGTATTCACATTGATGCTATTTTATTAAGTGAATAGCCAATATATTGATCTTTCATCTGAACCTGAATTACTAGATTAGTGTACAATGAATTCGTTGGGTTGATACGTGAGAAATACACATAATATAGCATACGCTCTTTTATAAATTGAACATACCACGTTGTCTGCTACTGGTCATGTGATTACCGGTATATCATGATCACTTTTTTTTTTAATTAGGATTTACGGAAGTTGGAAAGTAAGTTATGAACAATTGGTGCCTACACATGCTTTGGCTTCTTTTAGATGAGGTAATTAGTCTTGATTTAGACTAAATATAAAGGGTACCAATTATAATTTTCTAGAAGTGAAAATGAGTTAAAGGGCCAGGAAAACAACATGGAAAGGATGCTAGGAGGCAGTTGCAATAGTACTCGAATCATCCCTTTACCAATAAAATGAGGCTAATTAATTTGTATTTTATCAACATCCTGAGTGCAAAGACAAGTAGTGAAAACCACTTTTCAAAGGTGTGGAGACTGATGAACTGGAGTTGCTAACAAGAAGACTGAAGGAATGCTGTGCTGGACTGCGAAATATCAGAACTGGGGTGGGTTAGTTATAGTTTTTTTTTTGCTGTGTGTTACTTTGTGGAGGTGTTTTGGAAAGCTTTTTGAATCGCTGCGCCTACTGTATCTTCACTTATGGGTCTTGTGTTGTCCCTGCTGTCTAAAAATTGGTTGTTTCTCTGGGCCGGAGGGGCCTCTTTTGGTCGATGTATGCACATTGATGTAAGCTGGAATCCCCAGCAAGACAAATTTGTTTTCTATATAAGCAGGGTCATTCTTCGACCTTTTCTCTAAAAAAAACATCCTGCGTGCAAATATCTTGCTTACAGAATTAGAAATACAATGTGACGTACTATCAGATGCTTTAATGATCTAAAATATGTATGGACAGATTCCCATAGTTCACAAATTTGTTTTGGAAGAGATGATCTATATGATTGGTGGACTGACACAAAAATATCTATTATTTTGTTTCAATGAGAATGAGAATGCTCGACGTGGTGCAAACTGCAAAGTGGATTTTCTAGGTTTTCTTTTATCGAAATAGGTTCAGGATTAATGAAGTAACTATAGTTTATAGGCAATATTGTTAGGAAAAACCACTAAAATTTTAGCATACTTGCCTCATGATTGGTTAAACAGAAACTGTAGATTGAACCAAAAATAAATTTCTTGAAAAATCTTGGTTGTTATGTAAGTGGGATCCTAGAGTTGTGACTTGACATCAAAGTTTTCATTGTTAATTCACCCATTAAACATTTATATGGTGAATTTTTGCACGTCCATCGATCCTGACAAATCTACTGTTATGTTCTTTTTCTTCTGACTGTGCAGATGATCAGTTCCACTGCCAAATGGAAACAAATATGTTAGCATTAGAGTTGAGGTGCCTTTACAGGTCAGTTGGTAGATTGCAGATATAACTTGTTATTTGTACAATTGTATATGTGTGATATTTTTCTCAGCTAAAACTTGTGACCTATCTTTATTCATGTATTAGGAATTTGTTTTTGGATGATCGATTCTGCATGGCTAAATCCATCGTGGATTTGTTGAGGTGGTCCTCTAGGTATGGCCCGGGGCACTCAAGTTTTAACAAAATTATGTGCAACACTTGGGGGTGTATCTATATGGTGTTGTTGTGATGAAAGGATAATAATGTGAGTGTGGATTTATAATATATACCCCCTCTTCAAATTAGATTGTAAGAGTGAGTGTGTTTTCTCAATTAATATTCTACATGGATTCCTATGTGCACGAATTGGTTGTTTGTTCATTTATGTTTGCATGAAAATAGAAATGATGCTTGTGTCACTTCTGTTTAAATAGATTTATTTCTTAGCTACATGGATTCCAGTGTATAATAGTGGGTATTTTTACACATTGAAGTGTTACTTTATTTCTCAAGATGAAACACCAATATTTTTAAGGGCTCATGCTGATAAATTGTAAAGTTTAGTCGAAACATGTTATGATGGGAAGAACGTGCATTGCACGTGCATGATTACTAGTATATATTAAAATCTCCACTTAAATCTTTCTTTTTACCACTTATTAGATCTCACTTATAAACACGTACCAACATAATAATAAAATAGTATCATTATATAAGTATAAATTGATGACTTACAACCGATGATATGCAAATATGTTATATTAATTATTTAAAGTTGTTCGTTTAAGCTTCCAAAATATGCAAAACCACCATCAAAAACCACCTTAGGGGGTAATACGAATGATTTTACAAAGTTCGGGGGGGGGGGGGTTAGAAGTCCGGATTTAAAGTTTAGGGTTCTAGATGGACTTTCATCCAAAGTTTAGGTGGTATTTGGGCTTTTTCCAAATCTCTACTATTATAAATTGAAGATGTTTTTGCCGGTACTTTGGTACGTCATCTGTGTATGAGTTAGTTTCGTCCGTATTTGAGTCGGTTTTTAAGTTCGTTTGCTTTTGGAAATACAGAAGGAGTTGTATAAGAAATCTGTTAAAAAAACTCGCATGCTACTTGAAACGATCGGACTTCTAATTGTATCCCATGATTTTCTACAAAAATATATATCAAAGTGAATCCTCACAATGAATTTTACCATAACTAAACTGTATAACAATAATAAGATTAAAATAGCTTTCACCCGTTGCAATGCACGGGTATCTTTTTCTAGTAATCCCTAATATTATAAAAATTGAAGATGTTTTTGCCAGTACTTTGGTACGTCATCCGTGTATGAGTTAGTTTCGTCCGTATTTGAGTCGGTTTTTAAGTTCGTTTGCTTTTGGAAACACAGAAGGAGTTGTATAAGAAATCTCTACTAATATAAAAATTGAAGATGTTTTTGCCAGTACTTTGGTACGTCATCCATGTATGAGTTAGTTTCGTCCGTATTTGAGTCAGTTTTTAAGTTCGTTTGCTTTTGGAAATACAGGAGTTGTATAAGAAATCTATTAAAAAAAACTCGCATGCTAACTTGAAATGATCGGACTTCTAATTGCAGCCCATGATTTTCAACAAAAATATATATCAAAGCGAATCCTCACAATGAATTTCATCATAACTAAACTGTATAACAATAATAAGATTAAAATAGCTTTCACCCGTTGCAATGCACGAGCATCTTTTTCTAGTAATCTCTACTATTATAAAAATTGAAAATGTTTTTGCCAGTACTTTGGTACGTCATCCGTGTATGAGTTAGTTTCGTCTGTATTTGAGTCGGTTTTTAAGTTCGTTTGCTTTTGAAAATATATAAGGAGTTGTATAAGAAATCTCTTAAAAAAACTCACATGCTAACTTGAAACGATCGGACTTCTAATTGCAGCCCATGATTTTCTATAAAAATATATATCAAAGCGAATCCTCACAATGAATTTTACCATAACTAAACTGTATAATAATAATAATATTAAAATAGCCTTCACCCGTTACAATGCACGAGCATCTTTTTCTAGTAATCTCTACTATTATAAAAATTGAAAAATATTTTTGCCGGTATTTGGTACGTCATTCGTGTATGAGTCGTTTCTAAGTTCGTTAACTTTTAAAAATACATATCCGTATTTAAGTTGGGTTTTAAATTCGTTCGTTTTTAAAATACAGAAGGAGTCGTATAAGAAATCTAAATAAAAAAATTGCATTCTAACTTGAGATGATCGGACTCTAATTACAGCTCATGATTTTTTTTAAAAAAAATATATCTAAGCTAATTCACATATTGAATTTGGGTGTAGCTATATTTATGGCGCCATATTTTTTATCAAAAAATAGTCGACATATATTTACGTTGTAAGTTCCTAAAGTACATATGTAATTTTAGTGTATTTATAATGTAAGTCTCAAAATTACATATGTAAGTACTAAAATTATATATATATGTAAATTCGAAAATTACATACTAATTACATATGTAAGTGGGATGTAAATGAGGTGCAACTACTATATAAGTGGCTAAAAAAATCGACTGTAGCATATGACACCATATTTCTAGCAACTCCGTTGAATTTTACAAACATTTTTCTAGTAAAAAAAAACAAAACATCCTTGAATCTCCCCCCTCTCGGCCTCTCCGTCGCCTTCTCCCTTCCCCGCCGCCGTAAGATGCTGCTGCTGCCTACAGCGCCACCGCCGGTTCCCCCGCATCGCGGTCGTCGGCTCTCCCCTCCCCCATCCGCTCCTCCTCCATATCCCCCACCCACCCTGTCGCCTCCTTCCATTTCGCCTCGCTTCGCCCTCGCCATCCCCTCTCCGCACCGCGCACGCGCCTCTCCTTCCACCTCCCCGCGCCCAAACACACGCGTGGGCCGCTCGCCGTGTCTTCGCACTGAAACCCTAGTCGCCGATGGATCTTCTCTCCGCGGCCTACGGTGCCACCTCCGACGACGACGACGACGGCGCCGAGGCCACCCCTACTCCAGGCTGGGCCGCGACGGGCTACGCCTCCGCCGCTGGACCTCCACCGAAGCGGCCGCGGTGGGAGCCTCCACCATACCTCCCACCACCTCCTCCATACCCCATCCCTCAACCGGCCAGGCCACGCGCCGCGCCGCCGCCTGCTAGCACCGCTAGCGGCAGGTACGTCTCCAAAAGGGAGCGGGCCCTAATGGCCGCGTCGAGCTCTCCCGTGGATTCCTCGTCACCGCTTCCTCCATCGGCGGCAGCTCAGTTTGGTTCTCCTGGTGAGGATCTTTGGCCCATGATTGCAAAGGATACAATACGATAAGCTACCCTTTCACCCCTCTTGTGTTCTTGCCCATGAACTGATCTGTTGTAGTAAAAGTCCATCATCTGAATGCCAATTTTGGATTGGGCGTGATTAGCTGCATAGATTGGTAACAGGGGTTCACCATATGTTCAACTGAGTTTTTCAGGAGATTATTGTGTCATCAATCTCAAGGCAAACTGACTTAAAACAATATAAGAGATCTTAAATGCAGTTGATCTTGTTTATCTCGATTTCTAAGAAGGCTTAACCTGAAACCATAATGTAGATACCTGTGGTGACATTTTGGGCAAATGCCAATTGAAATTCTGCCATAAACCAAAGTCCTATTTTATACTTAATACTGCAGTTGATCTATTATCATTGATGATGGGTTTAGGGCTTTAAGAAGTTAAACACGTATAATTTATTTTTTTCCCTTGAAAGGTTTTTGTATGACTTGCTCATGTGTTCTGTACATTTTGTTCCAGTTGTTGGATCTATCTCTGATTCAAATTTGCGAGCTGATATTTTTCATTCTTTACGATGCCAAACAAAACCTGGATCAACCAGGAGGATGCCTTTGAAGCTCTCAGTCTCTTTGACGGGTCACACCAAAGCAGTCAATTGTGTAGATTGGTCACAAAGTCATGGTCAGTATTTATTATTTTACAGTTTCACGTCTCAGTTTTACTTATATTTATCAAAAGTAAATATACACTTAAGACATCTCTCAGTTCTAGGACTTCTGCATTAGAATATGTTGGAAAAATGTTGGAATCTTTCATTCTGGCTTCTGGGACAATAAGATGTTTTAACTTTTGAGGTCCGGACAATTTAATATAAAAACATTTCATAACTTTTGTGATAAGTGATAACCACTAATAATGCATGTGCACTTCATGCCATGGTATTGACTTTTGCAAAGTTAATGGTATGGTTATGGTGAATAATGTCTATAATTTTACCACCAAAGTAATTTCTATATCTAAGAAAACACCAATATTTTCTTCTTTGAAACATGAGTATGAACTTTCCAACTTGCTTGACAAACTTTCTGGGGTCAATGTTGATGTTTTTAATAGTGTATCTGGTCTTAAAGTAGTAGATGTGCACAAAAACTAATCAAACTCTTGTGTCAGTTAGGATGCTTTTGTATTTCTTTTCTCTTTGGTAATACTGTTGGTCTGAGAGGACTAAACCATTTCACAGCTTAAAAACGTTTGCTTTTTTAACTGGAGAGATATGAATGTTTTGAAAACCTATATACATTGACACTGTTAATTGTTAACCCCACATGCTCTTCGTGTTTGATTTTGTACAGCTTCTGAATGTTTTAAATAATGTGCAGCTTAGTAGGTATTTAGCACAAGTGACATTTAAGAAATTGTAAATTACACATAACTTCCAAGCACGTGTATATGTATCATTTGGATGCATGGTCTTGGTTCCAATCAATATTTTTTTTGAGATGAGATGAAACCTTGGCTCAGTCATAACTGCCAGTTAACCACATGATAGATAGGTAAATTCATGGATAATTGTTTTCTTATATTTGTAGGATGTTCACTGTTGGACAAAGTATACAAAGTAAACAAAGAGAAGATAGGGACAATGTACTTATTATCTTTTCTAATAACAAATACAAATCTTAACAATTGTGCACTCCATAACCTACAGATGGTGATCCATCTCTAGTGATGTGGTCTCCTGGTTTCTGGAGTCCCAAGGGACTTCTGATCAATTATCTATGTAGGTCAAGCTTGCTATAGAACCTCCAATTAAGCTGGGGTAGTGGTCATATAGTTTGGTCTTTTTTTCATGCGCTCTCCCAAAATGTAGTGAGTGGGAGGAGTAGATGTTTATAGGGTGCTAGCATTGTCTACTGTCTCGCTGGTCTGTGCATGGTGTAGCCTTCGTGTCAGCTCCATCTTCCCTTGCCCTCCTGCCTTGTTAGACTCGAATGATGTGTATGTGTAGATTGCTGATTGTTACACAAATACTCTTGTTATACAGATTTTTTTAGAGGTGTTATACATATATCAGAAGTAAATATTAGTTTCGTGTTGCTTAAGGTGATAGCTATAGTAATACTTTTTTCCTTTGTATGTCTGTTGTTTTATATTAAGGTGTTCACTCCTAATGATTACATCTAAAAGAGATGCACCATCCATGGGATGAGTTGAAGGCAACTTTCATCTCCATAAATTGTGTATGCTAACAAAAGAAATATTACTTCATCTACACTTTGTATATAGTTGGTACCCACTAACAATTATTAGAAGCTAAATCTCAACATGCAAGCATGCCACATCATCACCCACTAGCAATTACTATTCTAGCCCATTTAAAATCCCATGCAAGCATGCCACATCTTCACTCACTAGCAATTACTATTTAGCCTATTTTAAATCCCATGCAAGAATGACACATCATCTACAATATTATATTATAGAGATCGACAAGTATGTGTCAAATCATCTTCCTCACATTATTTTCTCAACATTTCAACTTTTATCATTTCGACAATATTTAACATATACTTATCCATGAATCCCGCAACAAAGCGCGGGGTATCACCTAGTTTTTTAGATGAAGACTCCTTTACATACGGAATACGCAATATGATTATGCATAGTATTTTTAATAAATTATTAGAATATTAAGTCAGTAAAAACTCACAAGGAAGAACATTTACAGCACATCTTCTCGCTTCTGCTGGAATGGACCATACAATTCATGTATTTAATGTATGGAATAAAGGAAATACTACTGCTCGTGTTTTCAAATTTCATACCGCTGCTGTGAAGGATGTGAGGTGGTCCCTTAATGGGCTCTCTTTGCTTTCTGGCGGATTTGATTGCTCCTTACGGTTAGTTGATGTTGAGGAAGGGAAAGAAATTAAGGTGTTCAAGGAGGATCAGGCTGTGGAGGTCATCAAGTTCAATCCAAGTAACTCCAACCTGTTCCTGTCTGGTGGGTCCAAGGGTTCTCTTAGACTATGGGATATTCGGAGTGGTTTGGTGACTAAAGAATATCAAAGAAATCTTGGCACCATCCTTGACATTGAATTCAGTTCTGATGGGAAACAGTTTATCTGTTCAACAGACACATCCAGAAGTAATGTTAGTGAGAATTCTATAATTATATGGGATACCCTGCGACAAGTTCCTTTATCTAACCAGGTAATAGGTTACTAATTTATATTGATAACTATTTGTACATAGCAAATTATCTTCTTTTCACTGAGGATCTTTTCCCATTCTTATTCATATGTATGCATACTTCAGCAGTTTGAAAAACAGAAGAGATATTTATCCTTAATTTAGTAAGCAATTTGATTACTTGCTAATCATGCATGTCTCTGATTGCTCATGTAAGCTTCACTTGAATTACTCTGTTATGATAGCTATAGCTTCAAATATAGAAGTTCAAGATGTACACTAGCGAGGAAGTATGACTTTATCTGTGCATATGAAGGTGGAGCATGTTGAATTTTGTTCAATACCCTTTTTTATAGTTTTAATATGCCATGGTGCCTTGCTTGATGTTGCTTCATATTCATTCCATAACAAAACCAGTTCCATTTTGTTCCCCAAATTCTTATAGATGCCTGATATGTTGGTATGCGTGTCTCACTGGTATGGAAATGTGTACTACTCCGTAATACTTTATGGGCTAATGTTTATGATGAATTTGTCAACTTACAGTTATGATAATCATGCTAATATGCTATTTGCTCTGCATACTAATAATTTATTACTTGAAATCAAGAAGGTATGCTGTCGTGTTGATTAGAAAGCACTTTTCAATATTGACAACTTTGAATTAGAGAATAATATTTCGAACTAACAAATATTAAAAAAGGTTTATACAGAAGTGTAAACACTGAATGCACTGAAGCTTGACACAAATGGCATTCTGTATGGCAGGTTTATACAGAAGCATATACCTGTCCTTGTGTAAGATATCACCCATTTGAAGCTTCTTTTGTTGCTCAATCCAACGGTAACTACATTGCAATCTTTTCAGCAAAGTCACCATTCAAGCTAAACAAGTATATGCGGTATGAAGGACATGGAGTGTGGGGTTTCCCGATAAAGTGCAATTTTTCATTTAGCGGGAAGGAACTTACATCTGGTTCATCCGATGGTTGTATCTATTTTTACGATTATAAATCGTCGAGACTTTTGAGTAAAATACAGGCATTTAAAGAACCATGTACTGACGTTGCATACCACCCAGTAATTCCCAATGTGATTGCTTCATGTAGCTGGGCTGGTGAAATAGCTGTTTTTGAATGACACAATAAAGGTTGTTTATTTCGCTTTTCTTGCCATAGATTGAGAACTATCCTCTAAAATCTGCTCACCGATGTCTGTTTCCCCTGGCCATTTGATCCGAGTTATTTCATTTTTCTATGTTTCAGAATTCAAACCCGGGGATCACAGTTTTAAGAAACGACAAATAACTTGCCGGTAATCAGTTTGGAGCAGGGTTTACCTTACTGTATGTAGGGGTAGGGGTTGAGGTTACTGGCACTCCACGTTAACGCGGCTATCACATGGTAACCGTGAAAAACTGAATGGAATTCATGTTTAAAAATTGAGACAATTCCTTGTACGTCGTTGAAAATTTTCCTGATCTATCTATGCCCTTGAGTTTTGTTCAATTTCTTTTATATACCTGAATTTAGAGAAGTGTAGAAGGAATCCGCAAAATGCAAAAGAAAATGAATTATACAGAAAACTTTGCATGACCTTTTACTATATTTTGAAAATTGAAATAAGGTAGGAGTCACATCTTACTCTCGATGGGCTTAGCACATTTTTTATTTTTCTGTTTTTAGTTTCAATATTGATTTGGTTACTTTGTATATTTCATAAAGTTTTTTTTTCACCAAATAGCATTACAGAGTTCCAATTATATGATTCTTTTTTATTTTTTTTCTCCATTGCTTTCAAATTTGAATTCAACACCACGGTAATCACTAGTTTTCCCTTTATTTCAAATTATAAGTCATTTAGACTTCGGTTAAAGTCAAATTACTTCAAATTTGATTAAATTTATAGACAAATATAGTAATATGTGTAACACTAAATTAGTTTCATTAATTCTATAATTTAATATATTTTTCTTGGTATGAAAATGCAACTACTTTTTTCTACAAATTTAATCAAACTTAAAACAGCTTTACTTTGACTAAAGTAAAAATGACCTATAATATAAAACGGAGGGAGTACCTTGTTTGGTCTGGAGTCAAGGACCGGTTATGGGTTGATTATTGGCTGGGAGGCTATGACCGAAACCCAAAATATAAATTTTAGAACGAGAATTAAATTTAAAGCTCCTTCCACCAGTAATCAGTTACCAGCCTATAATCAATTTTAATTGTAGGATTTTTTTAAATACAAATTCTATCTGGCAAAATCCGAAAACCAAGAAAAATATTCACGATGACTAATACTCTGGATTTTTCACATTTTGATCCTTTTAAAAAACTTATTTCGCAAATAGACCCCTGAAAAAACTTATCCCAGAAATAGTCCTTTTTGGGGCGCCAGAGTGGCTGGCGCGGACGGCGCCAGCCACTCTGGCGCCGTCCTCCTGCCACCGTGGCGCACGCGAACCGACGTGGCAGGAGGAGGGCGCCAGCCATGCTGGCGCCGCCCCAGGGAGGAGGGCGCCAGCATGGCTGGCGCCGCCGCCTCCATTCATGTTTCTCTGTATAGAGTTGCAACGGTGTTATTTTTATTTTATTTTTTCGGATGTTTTTTCACACTCAGGATCACGATACAACCAACCACAAAAAAAATTTAAACTCGAACTACCACTTAGCTAAGTCTGAAAATATCTAGCATACCACTTAGTCTACTTTGCACCTTCACTCAAATTAGACCATAACTTCTTTAGTAAAACCCTTTGATCAGCATGTTAAATATAATGTACTCTACCACTATATAAATTACTTAATCTAATTCAAAATATAACCACATGAAATGACATATATAAGTTAAACAGTACATAGAGATGCAATTTTTTTATTTTTATTTCATTTTTTTGATATTTTTTTCACACTTAGGAGAACATAGGAACCAACCGTATAAAAAATAAACTCAAACGGACAAAATATGTGACATGTAGAATTTTCCAAAACTCTACCGAAACGGACAAAATATGCCATCTATCAAAATAGGCGTAACTTTCTCATACGGACTCGGAATCAGGCAAATAATATATGAACGGACATCTACAGAAAAAGTTACATCCGATTCTCCCCGCTTTGCCGGGTTCGGCGATATTAAAACCTCCACATGCCACATATTTCGTCCGTTTGAGTTTATTTTTTACGTGGTTGGTTCCTGTGAGTTCCTAAGTGTGAAAAAAATATCAAAAAAATAAAATAAAAATAAAAAAGTTGCACATCTCTCTCCTCTGCACTAGTTCGGAGAGAGGAGAGGAGAGGAAAAATTCTACATGTCACATATTACGTCCATTTGAGTTCAATTTTTCTATGGTTGGTTCTTGTGTGTCCCTAAGCGTGAAAAAAATATCAAACAAATAAAACAAAAATAAAAAATTTCGGGGGGGGGGGGGGGGCGCCAGCCACTCTGGCGCACTCCCCCTAGCCACCTCAGCATCGCCCCGCCACGTCGGCGGTGGGACGGCGCCAAAGAGGCTGGCGCCGTCCTGTTGAACGACGGCGCCAGCCACTCTGGCGCCCCAAAAAGGACCATTTTTGGGATAAGTTTTTCTAGGGATCTACTTGCGAAATAAGTTTTTCAAAAGGACCAAAATGTGAAAAATCCAGGACTAATACTCCGGTGAAACCATCCTCACAAAAGATTTGGTTAACATGACGGGATCCACTTGCTTTCATATGGCAAGTGTCAATGGAGCCATATTCTAGGATTCAACCAGTGCTGTTTAGGCCGAGTTTAGTTACAAACTTTTTCTTCAAACTTTCAACTTTTCCATCACATCAAAACTTTTCTACACACACAAACTTTCAACTTTTCCTTCACATCGTTCCAATTTCAACCAAACTTCTAATTCTGGCGTGAACTAAACACACCCTTAGTGAAGCTCACGCCCGGTCGCTCTGCCCCGGGGGCGACGAGGATGGCGAAACAAGCTGCGCCGCCCCCCGCCCCTCTCCTCCCCTCCCCCGCCTCGCCGCTGCCCGAGCCGCCACCGGCAAAGCCAGGCAGCTACAAGCATGGCGGCAGCGGGGCTCTCTCTCCCTCGCTCGCGGTCAAGGCGGTCGGGGTGCCAGCAAGACAGAGCTCAGGGCCAGGCGCCGACGTAGAGGAAGAGCCGATGGCGGTGTCCAGATCTGGCGCCAGGATGCATGGATCCTGTTCCCCCATGGCCGGATCTGTTGTTCCGGGCGGCAAAGAACCAGGTCGGTGAGATGGCGGCGTCGGCGGTGGCCTCGGCGGCGTGGAGTTGGCGGCGGGGCCGGACTCAAGGCAGCCGCCTGGTGTCGGGGCGAAGGAGACGACGGTGTGGACACGGTTTGGCGGCAGCGGCATGGACGCTTGGCGGCGGGACAAGGAGGTCGCGGCGGCGAGCACCGCGATGGCGACCATGGCTGCGGCGGCAAGTGGCGGGCATGGCCAGATCTGGCCGGGCGGTTTGCGGCGGCGGTGGTCGCGGCTATGAACGCGACATCGGCCCGCTGCGGCGGCGGTTGGCGACGGTGGCTGATGGTTGTTGGTGGCTGCATGTGGGGGCTGGGAAGGTGTCGGGCGGCGGAGAAAGGGGAGAGCGGGGGTGGGTGTGGACGCGGTGTTGACGACTGGAAATGGGTGACGGCAAGGCACGGATGGCCACGGGCGGCTAGCTGGGGAGGTGTGGAAGATGACCGTATTTGGCCGGCACGACAGCGGCGAGAGGAGTGCTCGGAGGCCAGCTTGGTGCGTAGAGGCGCGGCCGGTGGCAGCGGAGGCCGACACGGCGCGAGGAGGCGCAGCCGGCGGCGGCGGAGGAGGAGATGCTGGTGGGTGCGGTGCGGTCTACAGTGCACGAAGGCTGGCCGGCAGGGGGCGCCGGTGCAGTGGTCCCACATGTCGGGAGAGGTTGGACGGTGGTGGAGCATCGGGGCATCAGACGTGGACTCGCAGGTGGTGAGCGGATGGTGAAAACTCAGCCCGGCCTCAGCCGGGCCAACAACGATGACGCTCGAAGCGTGATTCCCCTCCTGAGGGCGTTGTCATGCTGTTTCATCCCTCATGTGTGGATGCTGGACGAAAGCCCAGTCTCGGTTCTCTGAGACCTTGACGGACGATGGCGGTGGTGTCTTCCGTCATTTTTCTCTTTGGTGACGTCGTTTAGGCATCCCCTAGCCGAAACCTACCAACCAATTGGTGCAAGCTCACTTTTGATTTTATCCTCTTGTGGCGGCGTCCTAGTCTCTACAAGTTGGCCAGGTTAGAGGGCCTAGAGGGGAGAGGAGTTCCATTCTTCTCTCTCACCCTCTCTCCCTAATTCCTGGAGACTTGGATAGAGCGAGGCTCTCTGTTGATTGTAAGGATTGGGTTTTGGACGATCTCGGCCGTATTTCTTTGTTGGTCTAGCGGCGGTCGGTCACGTTTAGCGGCGGCCGGTCCAGTGCTAATCTTCTCCTGTTCGGTGTGTTGGCGCTGCTGATGTGTGGGTGGTGGTATATTTTTTATTTTTCCTGGCTACGATCTTCCAGGGTTGTAATCTTGTAATTTTTCTCTTGCTCTATCAATAAAACTTCGCACCGCCTTATGCGAGTCGTTCAAAAACAAGGATTCAATTAGTACCAGCAGATTATTACGGACGCATTTTTCTAACCGTTGAACGATATGTTTTTTAAATATATTTATATACTTAGGGGTATATCCGTGCGTTAAAAAAGAACTTAAAAAAGAGAACACACACCATACACTTTAAAGCCTCGAAAATTAAAATGAAAACCCATTGAAAAATAATCTTCAGATCATAATTGCTCTTATTTTGTACCTCACTTTAAAACAAACGTTTTGGCTTGGGTTTGGGAAAGGGATATAAGTCTACCAACCTCACTACTTGAAGATTCACACGATTGTAAATAGTAGGTGGTAGCAGATTTACCACTCACAATCACCATTAGGGTAGTTTAGAAGAGCATAGATAGAAGTTTCAATAAAAATTCAGACAAATCATTTTTGTAAATTTCTAATAGTTCCTCTCAGACAAGTGTCCTTTGATTTGGAGGAAAAACATAGGAATTTTGGAGGATTTCAATCTTATTGAAAAATTTCCTAAGAAGCCCTTTGAAACAAAGGATTGAATCCTATCCAATCCTTTGAAATTCCTATGGAATGGACAATCAGATTTTGGAGGAAATTTATCAAGAACTTCAACCTCTTGGTAACTTTCCTTTAAGTCTATCTCTCTCATTCAATTTCTGCATTTTTCCTATGGTTCAATCAAACGGTCATTCCTGTGATTTTCCTTCGTTTTTGTAATCCTCTATTTTACACTTACATTCCCATCAAAATCCTACGTTTTTCCTATTCCTATGTTTTCTCAGTCATGCGATTCAAAAGGGCCCTAATTATACGTTATACGTTAATTGGGGAGGATTTTTACTGTCCTTGATAGTGGCCGGTACCAAATCGTGGTCGTTCGATGAGCAAGATCAAACGGTCGAGCATGAGCGGTACCGCTACTTTGCACGGGGGTACCGCTCCTCCTTCCGCGTGCAGGAGTAAATTGAAAGAGTAAATATGTACTTTCGCGTTTATCCTCTTCCATGATGCTCTCGCCTCTCGTTTTTGCATCGTCAAAGCCCCAGGCGGCACGGCGCCGTCAGGAGATCGGCGATGCCCAAGGCGGCGCTAGGAGCTCCAGCCAGGCTCTCGACGGTGGCGCTTATATCAGGGTGATGCTCTTGCCAGCGGCAGTTAGGATCTTAATGAAATCTCAAGAGGCAAAGATCAGGGGTCCGGCGAAGCTCTCGGCGGTGGTGGTCAGAAGCTCGGTGATGCCCCCCAGCTGCGCTCATGGGCTACTGGGCTAGAAGATGCTGCCAGTTGCACAGCTGACTTCCCGTCCTTTAATTTCAGCGAAGCTCAATAGCTCACCCACCTATTTCTTTCGTGGTACAAATATACTGGTGTTGATTTTTGGTGGAAAAAAACTTCGTTGTTACTCTTGCTTACTATGGTTATTGGATCGATTAATTACTGTTATATTCCATTAAGCAATAAGCATCTAGCCAATAGCCGGCTCAAGATGGCGGCAGGCACAGCGGCCTCGATGAGAGGGCGGCGGGCTGAATGCGGCGGCGCCCGCGGCGGCCTCGATGCGCCGGCGGCCGCGGCGGCCTCGTTGCGGCGGCAGCCGCGCCGGGGTCGATGCGATGGCGCCGCGGCGGGAGAACAGGCTTGATACGGCGGCGCCGGGGAAGCTTAGATGCAACGGCGAGGAACGGATCATTAGCCCGGGCACCTCATTTTCATTAGACGATCCTACCCCCATTAAATCAATGATTAGATTAGATTGGTATCTCGTACGTTATGACACCCCATAATATCTCTTTAAGGATGAGAAAGATGCTTTTAATTGGGTGTCTTCTCGGACAAGTCAACCTGTCAAACGAAGGGGGATTCTAATTCTAACAGGTGATCTGTTGACGTGGCCAGTCTCTGGTCAGACGCAGCCTCCATCCCCAGACCCCAGCCGCCGCCGCCCCTCTCCTCTCCGGTGAAGTTGGGTTGCTTCGTCATCGTCCAACCACACCATCCCAAAGCCGCCGCTCGGCTGCCGCCGCCATTACGTCACTACTGGAACTTCCTTCCAGGCAACCCACCACCCGCCACCGCACCTGCCCATAAAACCCGGCCACATCCATCAAGCAGCAACAGCAACTACCAGTTTGGAACTACCATCCCCCGTGACCACCTGCCCGCTTTCCCGCACAAAGTTCACTAGTAGTTACTGCTCCAATATGGAGTAGTACTAATCCTCCGTATACTCGAATCCCAGGATCTCTCCCGGTCGGATGCTCACTCGTCTTCCCCACCACTCGTCGCCCCTTGTCTTCCCCTGCCGCCTCTCCGCCGCCGCCGCCGCCCGGACGCTCTCCACCGCCACCGGCAGCAACTCCACCACCGTCAAGGTTAGACGCTTCACTCCTCACTGGCAAAGCTCTCGCGATAGTATGTTTCTTGGATGATGGATCCGTGATCTGATCAGTGCTCTGGAGAGTGGTCTCTGTGGGTGTTGGGCGCAGATGGCTCGGTCGGCGCTCGACGAGGTCACCGACGCCGGCGCCTTCGACCGGTCGCCGTCCACCTTCCGGAGCTCTATCTCCAGGGACAGCTCCGCCCGGTTCCCCGCCGTGCCGGGGAGGTACCACCTCTACGTCTCCTACGCGTGCCCCTGGGCGTCACGCTGCCTCGCCTACCTCAAGCTCAAGGGCCTCGACCACGCCATCGGCTTCACCGTAAGCAGCAAATCCATCCATTCTCGATTTCGCTTTCTCATCCCATGGGGAACAAGAAGAAGAAGAAGAAATTCATTGACTCTTCTTCTGTGTGTAGTCTGTGAAGCCCATCTTTGAGAGGACCAGGGAGACGGACGACCATCTTGGGTGGGTTTTTCCGGCCACCGGAGACGAAGAGCCCGGCGCAGACCCGGATCCTTTCAACGGAGCCAAGACCATCAGGGAGCTATATGAGATTGCCAGCCCAAATTACATCGGGAAACCAACTGTTCCGGTGAGTCGCCTGAGCTCTGAACCTGGGGATCGGATTCAAGAATTTCCTCTTCACATTTCCTATGAACAATTGGATTGATCTTTGTCATTTTGTTGTGTTGCCTTTCAGGTTCTGTGGGACAAGCAGCTCAAGACTGTGGTGAACAATGAGAGCTCAGAGATCATCCGAATGCTCAACACTGAGTTCAACGAGATCGCAAAGAATCCTGACCTGGATCTCTATCCTGCTCATTTGCAAACCTCCGTCAATGAGATCAATGAGTTGGTATACGATGCGATAAACAACGGCGTGTACAAATGTGGCTTTGCCAAGAAACAGGGGCCATATGATGAGGTAAATTGGTTTGTGGTTTCTTTGAAATGGATTTGGTCAAATAGGATGGTTCCTGTTGTTGACATGTCCTTTTCTTCCACATAGGCTGTCACGAGATTATATGAGGCTCTGGACAAATGTGAGGAAATTCTAAGCAGGCAACGTTATATATGTGGCAACCAGTTGACAGAGGCTGATGTTCGCTTGTTTGTAACTCTTATAAGATTTGATGAGGTATGGATCTCTTCATGGAAGATAAAAAACATCCGAGTGTCTTATCATGAACTACAATATATTTTGGCATCATGCTAGTTTTGTATATGCTATTATATGTAGGTTGAACTATGTCAATATATTTAGTTTTGACTGTGCTGAAGTCTTACCAATTTTATTGTTCGGTTTTGTATATCTTACTTGTGATGGTAGCAATTAGTATGATCTCAAATCCTGGACGATAATAAGAGCAGTAGGAACCATGCTGCGTAGAGTGTACTTCCCCTTAATTGAGTCCAAAAGTATCTGCTGCTTTATTCTGAAAACTATAAAGTTGAACATAGCGCTTCATCTTTGTAGTCTCTAGAGCTGGCTATATGCGGATATGCCTATAAAGAATGGGGACATTTCATATGCAGGTCTATTCCAGGATATTTTTGCATTTGGTTTATGTAAAGATTGTACGGGGACATGCAAATTGAGTCAATGCAAGTTTTCTTTTTATCTATTACTACTTGAGGGCTGCAACATAGATCAGTACTGAGATTCTTATTCCAACATACCGAACATACTCTATCGAAGTTTATTCAACTCTATAGTTGCAGAACTGCTCTACATTAGTATTAATCTCATTAATTATTTAGCGGACACTTGTCAAACAATAACAGAAAACCATTGTACCCCTTTTAGAGGTTAATTGATGACCACTCTGTGTTCCGTTTGTAGTTTGTATAAACATTTTTTTCAATTAATAGTAAATCTTAAATCTTAACCCAACAATGATTTGTTTTTAATCCAACAAGGACTTGATGTTAACTTGTGTCAATATGTGATCACCAGTCAAATAATGTCCATATACTTTTTTTTTTTGAAAAACACAGTAATTCACTTGAGTGCGTGTCAACATTTTCCTGTCTTCCCTCCCATGTTCTCTTTGGGGATAATACTTGCAGCAACCAAAACTTTCCCTTTTTCCAAGTGGTGATACCGTAATTGGAGTACTATTTACATGAGTTTGCCAGTTATCTGCTAAACACCACCTTTTCTTTTCACTTGGGCTGCTCGTGTTTGTTATTAATCATATTCTTTTAAATACTCTAAATGTCCAAATTCCGGACACAGGAACATTGTACCGACCATCATATTTATTTTCAGAGAGAAGGCTTTACGCTTTGCTTTTCAAGAATGCAACCATCATATTTTATCATTATAACATTTCATGATTCAGAACAATGCATCATTTCTGCATCCATGTGATGGGGAACCTCATATGTGCTTTCTGAACAGAGAACTTTTCGACTTCTTGCTGATCTCCTTTGTCATTCCAATTGTCACTTCCCACTTTATTGTTTATTTGGGATGTTTCAAGCTAATCTATACTAATACTACCATTCTACTTTTGCAACCTTATCTTGAAATGAGATCACATATCTAATAATAAAAATTGTAATCATTATCACACATAAACCATTGATTTGTACTAATATGCATATAACAAGTCATTTTCCCCTTATACAGACTAAGCAATTTTTTTGCAGGTTTATGCTGTCCACTTCAAATGCAACAAAAGGCTCCTCAGGGAATACCCCAATCTGTTCAATTACACCAAGGACATCTACCAGATTCCTGGCATCAGCAGCACGGTTAACATGGAGCACATAAGAAAGCACTACTATGGAAGCCATCCGTCCATAAATCCCTACGGGATCATCCCTGCAGGCCCTAACATCGATTACAACGCTCCACACGACAGAGAGAGGTTTAGTGCCTAGGAGAAGATAAGTAGTACTCCCTCCGTTTCACAATGTAAGTCATTCTAGCATTTCTCATGAACGTGAGAAATGCTAGAATGACCTGTAAAACGGAGGAAGTATCTCTTATGGTACTTTCTGTATTGAGTCACTATGCTTCGTTGCTATGGTATCGAGGCTGTGGCTAATAATGCTTGGAGGGTTGGTTTGTGTTTTGGTTGTTGTATTGTAATACAGGGATTGGAAAAAAAAAAGTTACCGATAGAGAATAAGAAGTATCACTCGACCAAACAGAGACAAGCAAAAGTTATGTGGTAATAAATAACAAAAAGTTTTTGGTTCCAAGAGTTTACTGGTCACAAGCTCAGAAAAATATTCACCGCAAATATAACGGTATCATGTGATCGTATTTAGAGGCTAGATTAAATTAAATTCCATTATCGAAATTAACAATGTTTACGTTCTTTTGATATTTTGGGATTTTTGATATTTTGGGATGTTTAGATTAATGTCATTTCAAACCATACCATTTTTTTTATAAAGTTGCCAAAAATGTGCATACATTTATTTTTTTTTGCCAAACTTTAATAAATGCATAATAAATCTAGATTTATTTTGGCTACATTCTGAAGAGCCCTTTTGGCTACATGATTTTTAGGTGTGATTTTTGAAAAAAAAATATAAAAAAAATCTTTTGAAAAATTTCAAAAAAATTCTATTTTTAAGTGTGATATAGTTAACATTTAATTAACCATTCGCTGATTACAAATCTTCTCCGTCAGAGTCAGCCTGATTAGTCCAAACCGGTGGCTGGTTTCAGCCGTGGCCGAAGTTGAAGTTGAAGACCTTGGCGAGGCCGGTTTTGTCGCCGGCGTCGCATTTGCCGAGGGTGTTGCAGCCCATGACGCCCTTAGAAAGCCCGCTGGTGCCCGGCAACCTGCTCAGGCCCTTGGAAAGCCCGCTGGTGCCCGGCGACCTGCTCCGGCCGGCGTAGGCCTCCTGCAGGCTCGACGCCAGCATCACGGGCACCAGCACCACCAATACCACCCGCATCCTCACTTTCTTCTCCATTAGGATGGATCATCAGTGTGGAGACGAGAGGCTCCTTTAGTCCTTTTATTCAATGATTATTACTATTCTGAATGGATTTCATGATGGCCTGTTTTTGTTGGTGTTGCTGTCCTAAAATATATACGGATGGGAAGGAGTTTAGATCTCTAGTAGGTTAGCTGTCTACTCCTTTCGTCCCAAAATATAAATATTTTTAGCTATAAATCTGGATAACTGTTTGTCTAGATTCATAGAAAAAAATTCTTATATTTTAGGACGGTGGTAATATATGACTATATCTGGAGTCCTAGACACCTGGTGCGTTATTGCAGGAGCATGCCATTTACACCTGGTGCGTTCTTGCAGGAGCATGTCATTTCTGGCCGGCTGGCTATTGGACTGCGATGGCTGGCCGAATGGGAAGAGTGGAGGGGAAATTTGAGAAGAAAAGGAAGTTGGATTTGTTTGGTTCGATTTTTAGTTTGATTGGGTTTTAAACTAGTTTAATTTTAACGGCATCGGTCAACAATCAGCCAAATAACTTAAAGTAATAGTATGATTGATCTGTTATTCTGCTGGTACGTTTTCTACGTACTCCCTCCGTCCCAGAAAGAAGGAATTCCTGGAAGCCCAAAGTAGTTTTAGGACAAAGAGCAAAAGACTAAACTACCCTCAGTACTAGTACACCCAGTCATTAGGTACAAATAAAATATTACTACTGCCACACACTAATAAAATAGTAGTACTCCATACTCAAACACACAGGCAGACACAGGGCGCCAAGGTGCCAAATAATTTGAATGAAGAGTTAAGCGCCACTTCATTGGCGGGATGTAATACAAATTTAGCACACCCCACCACAACAAATCCTACAAGTTTCAAATCAGAAGTTTCCCTCCCACTTTATCACTTCATAACTCTGCAAAAACACAAGTTTCCCTCCCACTTTATCCCTTCATAACTCTGCAAAAACACATCCATGGCTTTAGATCTAAATATAGCATTAGATGATGGAGGTGAACATGCTATACCTAACCTCAATGAAGCAGTGGCTGAAGAAGCAGCAGTGGCTGATCAGGAGGATGATCAGGTTGGAGGTGATCTACAGGAAGGTGCCAACCATGAGCTTCCTGGAGGTGATTTCCAGGGAGGTGCCAACCATGTGCTTCCTTTTGATCTCAACTTGTATACATCAGACCACCAAGGAGAAATACTTCTAGGTAACCTTGTAAACATTAATAGAAAACAATTGATCATTGTAGATATGGTTTGCATAAATCACTCTAAAATCTTTGTTGGAACTGTAGGATGAGATTGACTTTGTTTTCTTTCTTTTGGCTAGGTTTATTTTACTTTGGTTGTATTTAAGGCTAATGGTTGTTGTGCTGTGACCTGAGTAGCACCACAAGGTTTTGAGTTCAAATCTTCATAGAGTTCAAATCTTCGTATGAGCGAATTTCAGATTGACTAAGTTCCAATTTAAAAAGACTATATATGCAATTAGATATAGATGTCAGATAAAAAAAACCCTTCTCTAGAAAATAATAATAATAAACTTTGTAAGGTTAGTTGGGTGGATATTGTTTCGCTGCATATATCCACATTTAATATAGAGGTTTAGTTTTACCCATTATATTAAAAAAAATCCCAGCGAATGTCACTTCCACTTGTGAACAAAACGTTGTCCTCGTTAAGCCGCTCGCTGGACCATGCAAATCGAGGCTTTTGTATGCCGTCTGACAAGCAGGTGAACGCACAACCATTAGAATATTTGTGGAATAAGACAAATGACATTTACAAACAGAAAGTAATTTGTGAATAAAACTTTTATATAAGTATATTTTTAGCAATCTAAAAGAATAAACTTTGATAAAGAAAACCCCAAATCAGCTTCAAATTTAAAATTGAAAATTCAAATTTTAGTTGATAAGTATAAGCGAAAAGATAAGCATAATATGAGCCCTCCCCCTTTTTTTTCTTGCATATTAACAAAATCTAGAGTTATAGGAAGATAAGAGGGAATTACTACAGCACTGCACAGAAAGCAGGACTTTTCTGCCTTTCTGTTCACAACTACAGTAAAGCCTTTTGTCGCCTTCAACCTAACCTTTTTTCTTCATAAATCTAACCTTTCCACTGTCATTAAGACTATACACAAAAGGGAAACACTTTTACTCCCCTAATCATCTGGGAGCTTTCTGCATCCATGCATCACCGTCAATGCAAACCAACAAAATGCGGCATCAAGTTCTCTCTGTTTTGTACATTTCACAATCCAACAGTCAGCGTCTACTGCAGATAAATTAGCCTCCTTCAGAAAAACCTCCCGGTAGGCCGATTACTTGAATCTTTTAACTGAAATTATCTTCCCTTGGGTTTTCAGGGAGGTCATGCCTTTCTTGTGTGGCATCTTGCTGGGCCATGGAGATAAATATTCCGTTCAACAGGATCTGCGCAAAGATGGACACGGAAGTAAACAAGACCTTGTTAGTAAGCAGCAAAGAAACAAAAATGGAAAAGTGATTATCTCATGTTAATAAAAATAGTTAAGAATAAAAAGAACGTGCATAGAATGAAATGTGTACTGTAGCATTACCAACAGCAACACATAAATAGCTAAACAAATTTCCATTTCTCAAATTTCATTGAGCTTTCAATTCACTGCGCTGAAAACAATCCTAACAACTCAAGTGAAATGCACAACTATAATATTATTTATAGAAAAATGCTAGGTAGTATACTGACCAAGTAGAAGCAGAAAAAAGGAAAACTAAGCCAGTAATAGTGTACTTTTTCAGTGGCTATAAACTATCCATGTGCCTGAAAAATCTGTGAATATAAAACCTAATTAATCTGAAAGTTAAGAATGATTGTCGTGCATCTAATGGAGTGATCCAATTGACAGCCTCAGTTCATATCCAGCTCATCTAAGACTTAGCTTCAGATATTTCAAGTGATCCTTCCGGATCAATGTTATTTACCTTTACCTAGTTCAGCATCATTCTTTACAATGACAGTATCATCATTAACCATTCTAGTAAAACTGCTCCAGAACTACTGTCACAATCGGTTGTTAAGGCACTTCAATATTTGATATAAGAGGTAAAATGGTATTTTATGTATTATGAACGTAAGGGTTAAGTAAGAGCTAAAAAATGGAATAAACTAAACTAATTGTGTACACCCTAGTATTAAATGATGGAAATGGAATAGAAAACTGTTTTATGCAGGAAATATGTCTAACTTAAAAATTTCTAACTGCCACTACCAACAATAAAATGAAATGATTGAAACACTTCTCTTTTACCTGATTGTTGTTTTCAGTATGCTTGGGATCAAATAGCATAGGGCGGCAGCGCTTGTCTTCATTCATCAAGCTTGAATTCTGGAAATGATTTACAAGTGCGGCTTTCCCCTGTATTCGAGCATATGCCAACGAGACTACTTTCTCACTGTTAAATTTTTCCCATTTCCGACCAGCAAATGCCTGCAAGAAAGTAAACACTTATGCTTGGAATCTAATGTAAGCAACAAAGTTAAGTGGGTAATCAATTTCTATAAGATAATCCATGTGGTGGTAGCTAAAAACAAGGCGAATATTGAGCATTCTTAGCAGTAATACAAAAGCTATAAAATTTAGCTCACATCCTTATAGTCCAAATCAAGTGGTAAATTCTGCCTCAGTCATATTCTCTAATTTTTACTTCGATCAAAAGCTTCTTATTGACTACAATTTTCCATACAAAGATGGATATTTGCAAAGAGCTAATAATAGATATATAACATTGCTACAAAAGATAGGTGTGAAGGTAAATCAGAGTTCAAAGCATAAGAAAACTAAAATGTAAAAGAAACAATAATTAGCTATAAAAACAGGAATAACCTTATACAAAGAAAGCCACACACAAGGTAAAAAGAGGTTGAGCTTAAGAAATAACCTTAAAGAAAGATACAATATAACCAGGAGATGCCATATTAATGAAGGCATAGCCAACATTGCATTTATTCTGCAGAATTGAAGCTCAACAATCAGCAGTAGGCAAAAATATTACAGAGAAGTGTATAATCCAGAAAATACAAAAAATACCTTGAAATCAATAGGCAAGTAGAAGAAATCATAAGTCCCTTCATGAGTTTCATCAATTACTTCCAAAAGCATATTTGATGTATACCTAAAATTTAGTAAAATATGAGCAACAAAAGTAGACCGCATGACACTGTAATAACAGAGCATTACGCCAATTAATTCAAGAATATCATACTTGTTTGGTATGTTCTTTATCATCAACGTTGTTCTGGTGTCTTTACCAGCAATGATCTTCTCCAAATCTAATTGATATTGCACTCTGCTATCTTCCTGACACCCAGAGTTTCCAACTGTCTGATTTCGGCCACGGTCAAGCAGACCTTCAAAACCAACTGAACCTGAAATATTATTGAAAAGGAGGATTTAAAAACAAACGAATTCTCATAAATCAGTGCTCATCATTAAAAAAGCTAATATTTCTTACCGTTTTGCATGGAAGCAACATTAATGCGGGGATAGGCACCAAAGTTCGTCATGAGGCTTCCACTAACACGTGTGGGGCCTGTGCCGCCAAACTTTCCCTGTCTCATGTAAGATGTGTCTGGGGAATCAGAGAAATAGCCGAAATTACTCTCAAAAGGGAAAACAGATGGGGCAGACCCAACATTAAACTGGGAGAAGTGCTCGGATGCCCCAAAGGAACCACGCAGATTCTGATACAGATTACTCTGGCGTTGTGGCTGGTTATTGGGAAAAAGTGAGTTGCTAAGAGCTTGAGATTGGATAGATGAAGGCTGGCCATGATCCCTTAAGTTATTGTTATTACCCCAGAGAAATGATGTTCCAGTCAGTGCAGTAAAACCAGATGCAGTAGAGGCTGACGAAGCTGCGGATGACACAAGCGGGCTGGCACTTATAATTCCACCATGATGTTCTGGAAACGAATGTGAATTGTGCAAAGTTGGTGACCCATGGAATATGTTGTCAGCACGGTTATTCCAATAGGAGCTCTTCCCAACGGGTGATTTCATGGGAGGATATCCTGAAGAGAACCCAGAAAGATGGTTACTGCCCAAAGGGCTCATTCCCCCATTAAATGCAGTTTCATTGAGTGCATTTAATTTATTTTCATCTGTTGGGCTGCCAAGTTGGGACCACAAACCTGAGAACAAATTGAAACACTTAAAACAAATGTAATAATATAACCATAGGAGAACAAGGAAATAAATGATGTAGATTAAGGGCTATAAAATATTATAATACTTGGTGGAGAGTTGGCAGAAGGTGAACCAATCTGAAATGAATTATGCTTTGTTTCGTCTTGCTCAAATTCGTGATTAAAATGCTGTATAAAACTGCATAACAAGAATACAACCATGAGAATATGTGCAATACTCTGTATACAGTAAAGGAAAATACCAAACAAGTGAAAGTTAAATGCATAACAAAAACAGATAATAGAGGAATCCACAATTGGATTTTTTTTCCCTCAACAACCAATCAAGAATATTTTCATTTGAAACATCACTAGACAAATTGACACAGAACTTGGAACATGCATTATACTAGATAACATGATGCATAACAGAAGTGCAAATAAAAAATTAACAAAGCTCCTTAGGACACAAGTGACAGGAAGTTCTCAGTCCGACGGTTCTAGATGTTGATGTCAGAAAGGCCATTCAAGTAACAGACCATAGAGAATACTCCCTCCATCAAAATTTGTTCAGCATGGTTTGATTTTTTTTCTCTTCTAGTTTGACAATTGTAAGGCACACAGCAGACATGGAAAAAGTTCCGTAGATTTTCCAACCCTGACCCATTACTTTCTGTACTACGAATTATGGTGCATGCATGCATAAACACTAATACCATGTAATCTGGTCATTTAATGTCCCTTCTTAAACTCTGTGCTGAGGTACAACATGCCTAACCTAACAAATTCCAATGGAGTGAGTAACTATGTACAACAGGAGTTAGGGGATTCAAAGTACATATGTTAAGCCAGCCCACATGCAGTAATTTTCAATGCTAAATAAAAAGTTAAATGCACACTAAAACATCATCTAGAATTTCAGCAATAACTGAACAAACAAAAATAAGTCACAAAATCAACATCTCAGCGAAAAAAACTATGACAGCATGCAACCAAGCAAATCACAGAAGCAGCTATGGTACAATCTTATTTAGCGAACACAAAAGACATGTGATGTACAGCAATACAGACCTTCGGCGAGCTCCACCAGGACGGCTAGGTTCCAACTTTACCCGTTTTCCAGCAATGTCACTCTTGTTTAATGAACGGAGGGCAGATTCTGCAGCCCTAACATCATAGAACTCAATAAATCTATGGTGTCGCTTATGTGGTGTCTCTCTTATCTGCACCAGGCGTAAAGCACAAAATTATGTAAAACATGCTGTTGAAGTTAATTTTAACAAAGCTTTCTAGAAGGATATATGGGTTCCTAAGTATACGGTGCACAATGATTGGATCAGTTAGGAGGTACAGAGTAACACTTTTTACCTCCCTAACTTCACCAAATGCACCAAAAATTTGAAGGAGTTCCTCATTTGAAACAGCTGGTTCCAGATTAAAGATCACCAGGGTTCCTTGGTTCATATCTTTATCTGACGGATTCTCCTGTGAAGAAAAATCAAATAAATCAACAGAGAATGATATTGAGAATAGGATATATTAAAATAGCTGACAAAAGTATTGACCTTGGGAATTGAATAGTGAATGTCAAGTTTCCTCCTCCTTAATGGTTTACTTTGCAATGCAGTCTTTGCATTTCTTGCATGACGGATATCGTAGTAAGATATCATAACGAATCCTCTGTGTTTCGTTGCAGTGTACATGGACCGAATATCCCCAAATGGCTGAAAATAAGTATGCTTAGCAAAGCAATAATAATTACTATAAAATATACGTACATGTTATAATAACCTTAATGAAATGAAAAGTGGAAGGTTTACTACACATGAGAAATTGCAAATTCAATTGAGACAGATTATAACAAGCTATTACAAACTGGTTCCATGATTTATAATAACAAAATGTGAACTGAGAACAGAGGAAGTGCCCTAATACCTTGCTACTTTCTATTTTGTTTTCTCCATTCTTAAGACAGTAATCCTCAGTTATTATACAATAATGTAGCGCCTTAATTCACTAAAGAGAGATCTTATTACCATGGAATATTTTATAAAAGGAATGTTTGTTAAATGGTATTTTCAGCGCCTATGGTTATCATATAAACATGTTACTATGTTAGACTAAACTATAACGGTGCGTTTGGATAAATGGGTTATAAAGGGTGGGATTGAGAAATGGAAATGAATGGAAGGTTGGGATGAAATGAGGTGAGATGAATGGATAGCTAAGATTAAAAGTTATATTTGGAGGGTGGGATAACATTTCCCTAACCCAATTTCCAAACATGCCCTAAAGGTTACTATTAAAGACCTGCATTTCTATGTATATAAAAAAAAGAAAAGAAGAAACCCCTAAGCTTAACTGCAACAAACAATAAACGGAACAGAATAATACTAATAATGCTTTTGTAGTATTGTGGAGTGAAAAGTTTTTGCATGCTAGTTTGTTTGACACAACCAACATTTTATTGTGAGATAACACAACAACTGACTTCAGACATGTTTTGAGTAATATAAATTCAACAAAATAAAGGTTCATCTATGCTACATGCCAATAGCCACGTTATGATCTCTGAAAGTTTAGACTAATCAGCACCCAAGTTATAGCTGTGTATTCGTCTGAGTTATTCTATTTCAACACAGTATTACTTGGGTCATGTAATAACAGTAGTATCAAAGAAATATGCTCAATAAAATCTTTTTAGGATAATGAACTAAGGCATGAGTTTAGGTATTAGTTTGTTTGGATAAACTTAAATGAGTTTTAAATTACTAATACAATAAAAACTGTTGTTTATTATCATATGATAAGAGGGATAACCAGGAAAATGTTAAGTAAACATAACATGTAGCGTAACCATGCTTCTCTACATGAACAGCTTGCAGTCTGTTGGCATGCCCAAAGAAAAGGACAACAGTGAAGACATGAAATGCATGTGCATATTAGAATCCAATCAAAGCTCATAGGATAGCATCTTGTCTTGGTGGAGTGCTGATAGTTTTTTCTACTAGGAGAAATATGAAGCCACAAAGTATGTTAAATAACTAGATTTCAAGAATATTTTACCAGAAAATACTATGCAGAACATTAAGCAACAGAATTAAGCCTCCATGGACTTACGAATATACCTCAAACAATGAGCGCAGTTCTGAGTCTTCAACATTACTATTAATGTTCCGAACGAACAATGTCCTGGACGGGTGCTCACCATAAGGATGCTCACCAGTAACTGTTCCAGCACCATTTTGGATGCTGTACTGATTAGTGCTACTTCCAGTACCATTGACAAGGCTAGCCTTTGCTGTACCAAAGGTGATGCTTTCCAGAGGGTCAATATCCAGCTCCATACCCCCACTATTGCGGAAAACATCATATTCTTCTGATTCCTCAACTTGGGTTCTCAGTTTAACATGATCAAAATCTTCAATTACCCCAGCCAATAGCTCTTCATCATCTGGTAACAGATTTCCAATCAAATGCTGTGCTACATCATCCATGGGGTCAGCCACTCTAGCATTAGTGCCTGGCTGCTTCATCATGGGAAACATATCATCCTTTGGTTGAGCATTGTACTCCCTTTCTTTACCTGGCACTGCATGAGACACCATGATGTGAGCTCATGTATGGGAATTGATCGTAGTTTAACAGAAAAGAAAATTTCCATACGTTTTCCAAATTGCAGAACTGATGGCAACGAGCTGGAGAACAAGACCGCGTCACTTGATCCGTTGACTGTAGTTGAAGAAGGACCTCCCCATGCCCATATGTTTCTCATCTGATGAGTCCTTTTGGATGGAATGAATGCAGGTTCTGTACAACATCATAAATATTAAATGGATTAGAGTATAGCAAAATTTTCATCACCTATAGAGTGGTATTAAAGTACCTGATGATTTGGTATGATCCTCACGCTGCTCCATCGCATCAATACTGAAAAAAAGAATCAAAATGATGTCAATGCTGATTTACAACAATTCATGATGTACAAAAATCCCTTGTCATATAGTACAATTGTAGTAGAAACAACAGGACCACAACCAGTCAACCACCCTAGTACTACTATCACCACGAATGACATCAATAGGGTCCAAATAAGGGAAACATAACTTCTCATCTTTGCAAACCGTATCAGGGGCGGATCTAACATGGGGCATAGGGGGTTCAATTAAACCCCCCAAACTTTTTGGGGAACAAACAAACTTATTAGTATTATTAAGGCTAACACGAATATTAAGAGGAAGACCCATGTCTAGACGAGAAACAAGCAAAGGGGTTAACGCAAATTGGAGGAAATCTGCGCAGGCGGCGGGCGAACTCACCAGCAGTCGACGCCGAGGGGACGCACGCACGACGACTTCCTCTTTCTTCTCGGACACAATCACACGCAGAGATGCCTGGGAATATGAGATATTGGTATCTTTCCTTAACTTTTTTGCTAATCCCCCACTCCATCCCAGCAGGTCCGAGAGCTTACCGGTCCAGCGGCGATGAGGGGGGTGTGGTGTGCGCCACACCCCGCAATGGCGTCGCCTCGTCGCCGCCTCGCCGCCGCCGCCGCCACTCCTCACAACACAACCGGAAACCGGAAAGGCCGAACTCCTCGTGTACCCTCGGCTCGCGCCGGTGGGCGCGGGCGGGCGGGCGGGCGCGCGCGGCAAGCCGGAGGCGCCACGAGGGGGAGGAGCAGAGGGGGAGGAGGAGACGACGAAGGAGAGAGAGAGAGGAGTTGAGAGGGAAGAGAGAGAAGGGAGCGGAAGGCAGGAAGAGAGGAAGAGGGGGGGAGAGATGAAGTGAGGCGAGGGATATTCCACCAACCTCCTGGATCTTCTGTCACAGGCCCTTTTCTAGCGGCTGCAAAGCGGGACGTTTGCTGTGGCATGTGTCTTCTTTTGGAAGTGTACACATGTTAGGTCATCAATGGGGGTATAGCTTTTAATGTAGGTACAAATGACTTCATTGATTTACTAGGCAAAAAATGAAGAGATAGTGTTTATCTCTTTGATTGCATGGATGTGGGAAGTGTTGTCAGTAAAAAGGAACAGAAGATGACAAATTTTATGTGGTCCAACTGATAACACATGTTTCATGAGATTATGTGGTCCAAGTGGTAACCCATGTTTCATGAGAGTATTTAAAATGCTATCAAAAGTGAATCTTAGAGGGAAGAGGAAAAAAAGGAGTCGCTCCAAGTAAATAGAACAACTGTGAATATACTAAATAGGTTCGTTTAGTCTTTTTCTTATATCTTTAATTTGTTTCGTTTAATTTCCTTCAACCCTTAAAGTTAAATCTCACCATTAGAGAAGCTATGGAATCATCGATCCCTTTACAAGCTTTATAGAAGATATGGTAACTTGAGGGATGGAGGCGGCCCATAGAGAAATAAAGTGCAAAAGGCACTATGCTTGCACCATGGCTAGATTTTGCCTTGGACAATATAAAACAGAAGAAAATAGAGTTGAGTAATGTAGAAAACAACGACTAAAGCATTGGACAAGGGCGACACTACATCGCTAGATCTAGATGAAGGCGGCCTCTGCACTTGACAACAGCATGTGTGTGTGTGTGCGCGCAAAAACAAGCTAGTTGGATACATAAGAATAAGATTGATATGTGCTAGCATGATCAATAAAACATTAGAGTGGTATATTGGCCGCTAAGGTATAATGCAATGTCTGGTTTAGTTGTACTCACATCGTTAATATTTTCTTCACCAAATCATAGTTATCGTCATCACTCATCGATTTCGATTGAGCCACCCAAAAAGTCATTATAGACACAAACTAGCTGACAATGGGAGTGCGGTGGATGATAGCCATGGTCAAGGTTATGGAAGAGTGTGCGGCCACGCCTTAGGCTGGTTAGAGCCAATAAGGAATGGGCAACACCACATCCATGCCATATCCTCATTTATTGGTGGCTTGGCATGATAGGTGTGACGACAACCGTTAGAAGGCGAGGTAATTAACGATCTTGGCACAACATGTAGGAAGGAGACAATTAATGGGATTTTTTTCTAGGGGACAGGCAGGGAGCTCCTGCAATTCACTATAGAAGAAGAGAGTTGATCTAGTTTATAAGGGAAACCGAACCCAAAAACCTTACAACAGCACAGTTAATTAAAGGAAAACCGGCAAAAACCCCGACATTGACAAACTGAACCTAAGTACAGCCGTCCAACAAGAGATAAACTCCTAAAATGAAGCCTTCAAGAAGGTTATGCCGACAGAACGGCGACATCGTCCGATCCTAACGAATCTAGGTTTTTACCCGGAGAAAACTCTTGAAGTGGAGTTGAACGAGGGCTCCAGTAGCAACGCCTTCAAGAAGGTGAACGACGCCCAAGGGCGTCGTCATTGCTAGCACCGAGAGCGGAGCAAGACTTTCGCCTTGGAGCACCCATCAACCAAAGCATCCACGACAGAAGCCTACAAATGTCACCTGCACACCGAGGATACCTGCGATATTCACACCACCTGAACAACGACCGGACTCCAACCACCCCTTTCCCACCAGAGGACGCGCCGGATTTGAGCAAGGGAGCTAGATCCGGTCGTCTTCCTCTCCACCAACGCCGGCCGACGCCTAGAGGGGCGCCGGAGGACGCCAGTGGCAGCCGTGGGGTGCCTGCGTGCTCTGGCCACCGCCGGCCGCCACGCCGCCGCCGGATCCGGGTGCGCCACCGCCGGATCCGCGGCCTCCACCACCGCCACCCTAACGCCGTCGCCATCCCCGCTGCCATCACCCACAACACCACCCGGCGCAACTCACCTCGACCGCCACCGTCGCCCGTCCCCGCCGCCGTCGTCAACCCCGCCGCAGACGCCTTCCCCGCCGCCAGCCCATCCCGCCAGATCCGGCCGGAACGGCACGGATCTGGCGGTCACCGCCTTCGCCACTCCAGGCGGCTCCCCAGGCCGCCCGAGCGCGAGGAGACGAGGAGCTCCCCACCGCCGCCGTCCTTGCGGCCGCGCGGCTTCGTCGGCGGCCACTCGGGCGACGGTGAGGTGGAGAAGGGGGGTGGGGGTGGGGGGAGAGGGGCGGCCGGGTCGTCGCCTCCTGAGCCGCCCCTGGGGAGAGTGACGCGAGAGGGGAAGTCACTCTAGATGCTGTCTCGAGTTGTCTCTCTTCACAATTATCGGGATTTTGGGAGGGACAAAGAGAAGTGTGAGGGGTAAGGTAGAAAAAGGTGATTCGAATAAGTGAAAAGTGTGCCAACTAGCGGGATAAGGATATATGTGTGAGTTTGTTTTTCGCTATGGCTCTAGTGTGATGTAAAAGTTGCAATAGATTTTGGTAATAAGAAATATTACAAGGACATGCACAAAAATAGTCAAGAACTAAAATACAAAAGTACTCAAGGGTAACTTATTACATTTTAGTTGCATAGTAACTACAATCTACATCTATGGTTTTTAGCTGGCGTTGCCGTTTTTGGGGACTTGTTGGGAGTGTAGCGTGGCTAGGCCCCTTCCCTCTGCTTGGAGTTAGTGCTTAGCCACTGTAGTTTCTCTAGCTTCAGCTTTTTATTTTGATTTTTCTCCCTTCCCCTGGCATAAGCCGGTCTGGTTGATTGCGTTGTGTAACTAAAACTTTTTTCGTCTAATATATTGATGTGCAATCCTTTTGCGCATTCGTGAAAAAAAACAATCTACATGGCGTACTCTCTCATTTGAAACTACACCATAAGACCATTTTGCATCGTAAATTGTCCTAAAGACTAGCCTTTGTATTTTTCAAGTGGTTTAAGTGACAAGTAGCATGTGTCTAAGTTCGTCTATAGAAATTTTGATGTATGTAGACTCCCTACTTGGGGTGTGTTTGGTTTCTTGCACCATTTTAGTTTGGCCAGTATGTTCCATCCTGAGTCATCCTAGCCTGCATAGATGGGTGCAAATGAAGTTGTTTGGTTAGTTGTATCAGTTAGGCCTGGATGATGTGAGATATGTTGTTTAGTTGGTTGTATGGGCAAATGTTGTATGCAAGAGATTTTGTTTGGTTGACTGTGTGAGTCCAAATTTGGTTACCTCCTGTTTTGTATGGTGTGATTACCCCTGCAATTCTAGTACTATTCAATTATAAAGAATTTAAAAGGTTCATATAAGCATCTAATTTACACATTATATACAATAATTCAATTAGATGTATTCTTATCACATAGTAGTAAAAAAGTGGACACTATACACAGTATACAATAACTTTGCCAAACATATTTATCCACAATGGGCCAGTGTGTGTGTGTGTGAGAGAGAGAGAGAGAGGGGGGGGGGGGGGAGGGAGGAGAAGGGATAGCAGGAATCCAAGAATCTTCCTGTTCGTGAAGCTCACCGTCCCTCGCCTCCTGCCGGGATCCACCTTGCCGCTTGCCTCCATCGCCATCCCAGTGGCTGTTGAATCCGGCTGTTGGGCCACTAGAGGGAGAGCGGATGGTGCTGGCAAGGAAGGGGATGAGGGCGACATCATAGAAGGGAGTGATGACGAGGAAGGGATAAAGGGAAACAATGCGACGAGGAGGAGGGGATGGAAGGCAATAGCGATGGCGGTGGTGCCCCTCGAGCCTCCAGATCCATCGAGGCATGGTGGATAAATGGAGGCAACAGTGCGGTGGAGCTCCTCTCGCGGTTTGCAATGACAGAGAGGCAATGATGATGCTCGTGAGGTAGTGGAGACGACGGCAACTCAAGAGGCTCCGCGCAAGCAAATGGGGCAAAGGGAGGTGACAGGATGCGCCACCCCTCTCGCGTCCCCCCACCGCACCCGCTAGTCCCCGCACCTGCACGCGCTTAGCCCGGACAAGGAGCGAAGCTTGATTCGGGCATTCTCTCAGGCCTGGCTAGCTAGGGAGGCTTATTTGCATACGCGGAGCCAGGCTTTGAAGGCGGGCTAGCAAATATCGCTCCAGTGCACCCTGCGTGTGTGAGCCAGGGGTCGTGCAGGCAACCAAACACGCACTTAACCACTGAACTGTTACAGTGAAAGTAATTAATTTCTAACCACTACACCACTTAGTTCTGAATGTTGCTGAATTTTGTTTGCTAGAGTTGCACACATATGACTCCAGTACCATATCAAATGTGCTTCATATATAATTTTTATAGATCCAATTTGTACAAAGTATTACTCCCCCGTCCAAAAAATATAAACCTATGACATAATGGAAAAAATATTGATATTCTTGGCCTTACCTAGAGAGAGAAAGCACGGATTTAGTGTGCACATGCATGATTAATTATTGTGCACCGTGTAGACTCACAGTTTAATGTTTTTGTGAGCTAAGTTTTTGGGATCGAGCAAATAGTATTCAACTGAGGTTTTTTTTTTTTAACCAGCCTTTTTCACCCCACTCCTAAGGGTACGTTTGGATAATGTGAATAGTGGGACGGGATTGAGATTGAAAATGAACAAAGGATTAGAATAAAATAACATAGAGAAAAATGGATGGGTAGAATTCGAAGTTACCCCTTGGTATGTGGGAAATCATTTTCCTTTCCCATTATCTAAACGGGCCTAAACACCTATGAGAGACTTGTCATGAATAAGAGCACATATATTAAGTTGAAGGAACAAATTAACGCAGTTAACATGTCCTACCAAACTAGTTTCATAAAAAGATATTTAGAATCATATGCAAGGAAAGGGACAAACTTACAACTCTCTTTATAAGTGATACTAAGAAATTGATAATAAGGTCCTCCTTAACATCAATACACTCTCTCCGTTTTTTAATAGATAATACCGTTGACTTTAAACACGTTTGATTATTCGTCTTATTAAAAAAATATTCAAATTTCTAATAAATCATGCTTA